CGGTCAACTTGAAACCCCCAAAGCGAGTGGAGGTGGGCAGGAGCGGGAACTGTGATTGGTAGCTGGCTTGTTGGTGTTTTGCATAGGTGAGTTACCAAGTGCTATGTAAAGGGCTGGAATGAAAAGGAGGTCAGTTTTCAGTCTCAGAAGTGGAGACTGTGTTCATCGCTATGACAGCAGGAGAGAAAGAGACGAAGTCATTTATTTTTTCGTGACGCATTCCAACACGTACAATGGCCAACATGTAATAAATATGGTGACAAAGATGAGGACAATAGTACGAATATTGTAAATAGTATACAGAGCTAATGATTTTAGCTAATATTAACAGCATGAATACTGAGGTCAACAGTGTTTCATGCTTAAACACAATCTCCAAGCCATGTTTAAAAGCAGGACAGACTGGGGTCTCTAACCTTGGTTGGGAACCAGTCTAGATGGGCAACTCTGAATTCAAAACCAGTTATGTGTGCTAACAGTCAGACATGGCCTGAAGATTGTGTTCAAGCAGGAAACTTACTATCACCATTCAGTGTTGACCTCAGTGTTCACTTTTATATTTACATACACTATCCCTGATATTCAGCACTTGTGTGTGCGTATATATATATATATATATATATATATATATGCGCACACGCACACATATATATACATACACCAGCAGTATAACTTGGCTTCGTCTGGGTCTTTCATTACTGGGAATTTTTGCTGTTCAATTGGAACAGTTTAAGTTTAAAGTCAGCTTACCCGAAAATCAATATTAGTAACAACAATTGGGTGCAACTGAGTCACATCCTTAAATGGTGGGGGGATTGAATGGGATGGGGGGGTGGCCTTGAAAAGGCCGTTTTTGTGATCTCAATCTTGTTTCAGCCTCATGCGCAACAACAATTGAAGAGGCATTTCTCTTCAGCGGTTGAGTCCTTGGATCATCATTTTCAGCCTTGCACGCAGAAGCATTAAAGTATGCCCGTCTGGAAAGCCGATGGCTACATTTATCTTTGGACTCAGTAGCTCTTTTTGAAGCATTCTGAGAGGCATTTTGAGACAGGCAAAATGAACATTCTAAAGATAATTCGTTATCTCTTATATGAATGGCAGACCTGACTGCAGCAGTTTTGCAACCTAGGCAAGTTCTTTTTTTGGGTGGTATGTCTTAGGCAAGTATAAATTATCAAATGGAATGCACGGGCAAACACCAGAAGAGGACGCTGTAAAGCTACAGGTATCACTAAGCTTGAATAACTTTAGGAAAGGATGGAAAAATAAATGTTGAATAATAAAAAAGCAAGCTTACTTATTACTGCGGTGAATGCCATGTAAAAACTGGCAGGACAATAAAAAAAAATTAAATTGTGAACGGCTATAAATGAAAGCAATGCCTTAAAACTGTAGTAGTAGGTTTTATGCAATGGAAAAGGTAACCTTACTTGAGAGAGAATGAAGCTTGGTCAAGAGAAGGGGAATGTGTAAGCAGGGATGGACGTACAGAAGTAGGAGTGGAAGTGCGGAATTAAGCCGTAGCAATGAGCTTAGGACTGTGTAGACAATCAGTATGACATGGTGGCATTTGATTTGACACGTAAAGAGGCTTCGTGCAGCCAATGGGCAACTTGAACAGGTGTCACATTCTGCAGGTCATGTGTATGTGTGTGCATAGTGTATGACACAGCAGATGTTGCAGGGCCACACGTACACACAACTGATGGGCAACATGTGGTGGTGTGAATCATGTCCACCCAACTTATGTTGGGTGGAAGGTTATGTGTGAAAAAGTAAGTTAAATTTTGCCTTTGATTTTTGCACAAAGTGTAAAAAATCAGTTTTTTTTTTTTTCAAATTTTCACCTTCAAGCCAATTTGGACTCAAAACCTGCACTGAAGAATTATCTATCAAAACAAAAAAAATTAATCAAAATCAGATGAAAACTGTAGAAACGCATAAACAACATCCAGTCACACACACATATTTTGAGAATTATAGATATAGATATATATGTATATAAGCCATTTTCATACAGTAAACATTCAGAACAAAGTCATTGCCTGAAGATTTAGATATTTATAAAACACTTTTTTCTAATTAATTGAGATTTTCCTCCAAAGTTTGTTTTTAATAGTTAAAAAATTAAAAAAAAAAAAAAACAACTACTGCTAATTTATCACCAGAAGAAAAGACTGAACCTGGCCCCAAAATGACAGAAGTTTGCAGGAACAGAGCCTACTTATTTGTGACTGAAAACTACTAAAAATCAGATTGGCTCCATGCATTTAAAAAAAAGAAAAAAAGGAACGCCTTAAAATAAAATAATTTTGGGCAATCAAAAAAAGTTAACACCAAGAGACTTTTGATGTTAGCTGGAAATCAAGATTCCTGATGGAATCTGAGCCTGGTCAACTCAAAAGGATATAAGCTGACATCTCTGAACTAAAAGAGAAGAGACGGCAAGAGTGGCAAAGAAAAGATGCTACGGGGGAGAAACCAGTCATGTGTAAAGTAGTCAAGCAGTCATTTGCTAATGATATTTCTGCCCTTCTTAGGACCGAGAAGAACACAGTAGATTGACACTGACCTCGTTCCAATATTACTAATAACTAGTACTACACTTTTAACACAGTCTGACTCCAAACTATTCACTACTGAACCGAAACAGACACTTCTCCAGACTGCTACCAATATCTGCATTATAAAAGAACATTTTGCTATACCGAATACCAAAGGACTCACTTGAAAAAAATAAAAAATATTTATTTTGTACCCTTTCCCCACAGTTGATTTTATTCCAAAGTTTCCAGTAAAGAAAATACTACTGCACTATTTGAATGTTGCCTTCTCATCACTTGAGAGAGAGAAGTAAAGAGATCAGGGTTTTAAGGAAAGCACAATACAATACTCTCTAAAAGCCTTATTTTTCATTTAATTTTTATCGGGACTAACTACAAATTTAATAATTTTAATGATTTTTGGAATTGTTTCATTTTTTTATACAATTTTTTCTTTCTTTTTGTTTTTAAAATAAATGCGAATGCTTCATTGCTGCAGCATCGAAAATACGAGAAAGAATAAATAATATCATTACTTTTGTTTGAATTTTAATTTTAATATCATAAAAAAGCCTAATTTATTTGCTTTTCAATATGTCAGTTTAAAAACGTGTGGAGTACTCCCACACATACGCGAGAGTTGTAGAGACAAAAATTGCCAAATGCAGGAAAAAAGTTAATTTCATGAAGCGATAATAAAGGAAGAAAGACTAAGCTTTATGCCAAAAAGTTTGTTTTATTTATTTGTTAATTGGTTGTTTTTGTTATCTTCGTTTTTATTGACGCTCTTATTCTGTTTCCTTTTTTTAATACAACTCGTGAGCGCACCACACGCAGAACCTTGAAAGCAAAGCATCAAGAGCCGTTTCGACTAACTAAAAACAGAAACTAGAAGGTATACTGCAAGAAATCCGTGATTCCTAATCTTCAGCGACTTTGTAAATAACTCTTATCAGTTCTTTCCAGATTTCCCTGTCCTGTGCTAAATCGCGAAAGTGTTTAAATTCGTCTCCAAAGCTTTTAGTTTTATATGCCATGGGGAATGATGAAATACCGTTAGTGTGTCTGTGTACTGTACTGTATATACTTAGTTTAAAGTAAACTTTAATTTAACTTTATGATTGTTCGCAATTTTCCCTGTAAGCATGCGATAAGAAAAAAAAAAAAAAAAAAAACATAGCGAGCGTCTCATTTGAAAATTTGCACATATGAAAACTTTTGTCTTTCTTTATTTACAAATAATCATTTTCATCGTTCATAAAACTAAAAAAAAATAAAGCCTCACAGATGTCTGTTATGATTTTTTTTCTAGTTGGGGCCGTATTTCCGACATGAATTGATAATTTGTTTCTTATTTTTTATTTTTACTAAAAATTTTTTTAGATAATCTTGTTTTTGACAAGCCCTGGTTAACTAAAATGTTGTCAGATTTATTTTACATTTTTCTTTTTTTTTTAATTAAAAGAAAAAATCTAACATTTTTGGATTCTCTGAAAAAACGGATTTTTCACATAAAAAAATCATCTGGGGGAAAAAATTCCATGAGAATCGAATAATCTGGGGGAAATATCGAATAAAAATAAAATTTCAATTGCGCAAAGTTAACTTATTTAAAAATAAAATGTAAGAGATTGTTCCTTAATCTTAGGAACCAAAAAAAAACTACTACTTACTCTCATTGTGGCCGATTAAATTAAATTAAATTGTAATACATCTTTCAATCAAGTTTTTTTTTCTTCTTAATAATCACTTCTCGATTTGACAGCAAAGAAAAAACTAAAAAAAAGTAATCAAAATGATGGAAATAAATCGGGGGAAAATATTGGGAAATCTTTCACTAATAATAATAATTCTAAAAAACTTAAAACAGACTAAAAATCTGACGTTTCGGTTAAACAATCGAACATTGTTTTTTACGATATATCGTAAAAAATGTATTGTTCATAGTAATAACGCCACAAAGAACATTAAAAATTATAAATTAAAAATTCTCTAACCTTTGAAAATCAGGGTTTAACTTGCGATGAAAGGAGACGTCCAATTCTTCAAGCTATCCGAAAAAGAATAATTCTGTTGCGCATGCCGTGAAAATAAAAACAAGGATGATCACTGAACGAAGGCGTTAAAATGATTTAACGTCACATACAATAACTGACAAAAATAAACCAATAGAAAAAGAGTACGGCTTCAGTAAAGAGATTTACTAAAAGAAAAGCTATTCTGATAGGGTGGGATGAATTCCTCTTTTGACAATTAGGAAACGTCAGCAAAACTTTTTACTTAAAATAAATAAATAAAAGCAGTGCGGCAAATTTTTATATTAAACCACGTGTACATACAACTATTTAAAATAGTCACCCCCTCACTTCCGGTAGTAATATGCGTACGCAGATCTTACCGGAAGTAAATTTTCCCCAAAGTAGTTACGAAATTCAAAATAAGTTTGTTGTCAACATGTCTGAACTTGTACTGTCATCCTAGTAGCAACTTAACTTCTATACAACAGTTAACTACATTTTTATATTTTCTTTCTTCCTTAGTTACCAAGCATGTTTCTCTGGATACGTTACGACGCATTATTATTGGAGGGAAGAAGTTTGTTAGTGTTCAATTAAGAAAGAAAAAAAAAATGTAGTATTGGGCAGAGTAGAACTTAAAAGATAAATAAATTTGGACCAAAAATCGAAAGAAAAAATTTTGCCAGTGAGTATTTTTTTATTATTTAACTTTGTCCATTGTTTAAAAAGATAAGGTTTTAAAAATTGATTTGATAAGAAAAGCAATACATTTTATTTTTCAGCAATCATTAAAACAACAGGTGTTTTTATTTACTTTTTTTGTTATTTAAGTTTACAAATCGAGTAAATGTACATCTATTCAGATTCTCTTTTAAGAAAATTGTTTACTTACAAAACAAACTTTTTGTGTGTTTTATATCCAAGAATGCTTGAATTTATTTTATTTTTTAAACATTTTATTTTGTTATTTTAAGACGTTTTTACCAATTTTATTTTATTAGTTTTGAAAATTTTATTATTCTTTATGTATTTAGTGCTTCACAGAAAGATGCACTATAAACTCAGTACTGATGAGAAAGAACAAATTGCAAAAGCTGAGCGTGAAAAGCGAAGAAAGATTCGATTATTACAAGTAAGTTTTACTATTTTATCATTTTTAAATAATGTAGCAATATTCTGCAAATAAAAAGTAAATTTGCAGATAATATCCCAGTGACCAATTTTTCTTTAAAAAAAAGAAAAAAAAGTATCATTTCTGGTGTTTAAAAAAACAACAAAAAAAACCTGATTATTCCCAAAATAGCATTATCTACCGTTTATTGACAATTTTAGTTGGTCTCCGGGTACAGCCTAGACTCCAAACTGCGCGATTTGCAGTATCCCAGTTGTTGTTAAGAAAAAGCATTATTCCTGAGATTGTCAATAATACCCTCCTAAAGGGTAGCCTTTCTGCAATTTTTGTTGTTTTTGTAATAATCATGCCTTTTTACACCAGGAATAACGCATGTTCTTAACATTCGCGGGGACATTAGTGCAAATCATGGTGTATTGGAGGCCAGGCCGTACCCAACTAAGATTGTCAATATCTCCTGACCTAAACGGTAGATTTTCCTCAAATTTTTAATGCTATTTTTGGAATAATCGAATGGCCATTTTTATTTTGGTTTTATTACATCTTTTTTAAAAGATTTATTAGCTCAATAAAGATTGTTTCCATTATTTCCATTCGGATTAATTTAATCCTTTGTCTGTCCAGGGCATTTTCGTGTGTAGTGTAACTACTATCCAAAAAGTTCATGCTTGTTTTCAGATTTATAATTATTGCAAGGCAACTCGGTTTATTTGGCAAAGAGACTACCGACTGTTTCACATTAAAAAACGTACAAATCATAAGTTACTACACTACGCATGTGATGCACAGTTTGTTTAAAAAAAAAAAACACTCAGTACATTCTATTTGTCAAATAAGCTGACGAGTTGCCTTGTAGGAGTTATATAATTAATCTGAAAACAGGCAACGTCCTGTGGTCATGATGCACAGGCCTTTCCTTAGACATCCTGCTCAATAGCAGACTCTTTCTTTTCTTAAGCGTCCTTAACTTTTTTTACACGCTTCTAAAATCGTAGCTCGTGTGCGTGCACCACATATGATACACGGACGTGGAAATCACATGCCCTGTGCATCACAAGCAAAGGTTTAATTTAATTTCCTCGGCCGTGTTTGTTGATCCGGGTAACCTTCAGGAGAAATTCGGACTAAATTTGTTTTTATTTATTAATATTGGGTTCGGAGGTTTTCATATGCCGCTTGTCCACTGATTGATGAATGAACTCTTGACTTGTTATTATGCTGCTAAATTCACAAACCAATGCATTAATTTAGTAAATGTGAGTTTAAAAAAAAAAAAAAACTCATTCTCGTACGATAGACAGTTGACCGTTTGGGAATAAGTATTTGAAATTGGAGAGCCGTGTTCCATGGGTTCATTAGCAGAATTTCTATCAGTTAAAATTGTAAAAATCATTATCTCCTCCACAAAATTTTACAATCTGAAAATATTTTCTGGCTTTTAATCTTCAAAAAGTCATAAAAAAACAAATCAATCAACTGGATAAACTCAGGCTTAGTGGAAAAGGGGCAGGCAATAACTGAGCAGTACAAACTATCCCTTGATATGGACAGTAAAATGAGAGAAATATGAAAAGATGAGAAAGAAAGCCAATAATACAGGTGGTCAGCTACAGATCTCTTCATCTGTTGTCACTAGTTTAAAACAAAAAACTTGAATTTAGCATTAATTTTTTAAATTAACTTTTAATTCTTTCTTTATTTGGACTAGACTCCTTCATGTAGCTTTTGTTCCCTTTATTTTTCTTTGGGTATCTGTTTTAGTAATAATGTTTTTACCCAAATTCTTCTCTTCCCTACCTTTTATGTGCAAGATCAAAAGTTCAACATTTTTATTTAAAAACAATTGTTTATTTTTTTTCTGGTTTGCATATTCTAGTTTAGAAAAATCTACACAAATACAAGATGATGTTTCCTTTAAAGATTTTTTTTTTTTTTTTTTTAACTTTCTACATTTGCTATCTTTTCAAGGTTCGAGAGATTTCCAGGAAGAATGCTGCAGCAATTCGCAATGCTGTAAGACTTGAAAAATTAAAACAACTCCAGAAACTGGCAGATAACATTAATGTAAGTAATATTGGCCATTCTGCAGTGGTCATTGTAGGTATTTCCAAACATTTTATAAGTGGTGGGTGATGACAACCAAAGAGAATATTCCCACATTCTATAGTATGGCTTTCCAAACATACATAAAATTATTATCTGTTACCACCAGGTTATCTGAAACAGGATTTTTTTCAAATGAATATTAAACAATTATAATTTTCCAGGGAAAAACTTACATAAAAATTCTTTTTGTCCTATAACCTGCTAGGATTGTAGGGGCTCTGCATGGTGGCTTGCTCACTTGCTCAACAAGAAGTTTCCACTTGATCTGCTAATTGGCCTGGGTGCTGGTCTTTTTGACAAATTTCTAACCATCTCCTTCTTTGGTGTCTCCTTCTCTTTCCTCCTTGTACCATTTCTGGTAGTTCAAATGCTTTGGTGCAGTCATCAGCCAAGATGGATCCAAGTCAGAAGTAGCTCACTCTAAAAAATAAAGTTTGCTGTGTGACCTCATCTTGTCGGTTCTGCTGTATGTACATGATCCATGAATTCTAACAGTGGGACTCTGTTATATTATGTCTATGGTGGCAAAACAAAGATAAATGATAAATTGGTGTAGATCTGTTGTTGAAAAAAGAGATAAGTGGAGTTGTAAAAGGTGTTTGGGAGGAGAAGTAACTTACTGGGGTAACAGCCTTTGGCGAGCTATCTCTTGAAGATGAGAGGTCACTTTTCAACGAAGTCTGTGAACTCTGGCCAGAATGTCATCCAACTACCAAAAATGTCTCTTTGATGAACTTTTTTGTCCTATCTTAGGCTCAAATTGGCTCTGTTTTTTTATTTTGTTTTTTTTAGGCAGGAGTGGGTGCTATTGGGTGAAAATTCTGGACTGCATTGCTTATTTTTTTCTCTGAGTTTGAATTTAAATTTTACAATTGCGACAGCACGCTCCAAAAACAATAACTCATTTCTAATAGCATTTTTCGGATTACAACAGTACATATATTTTCGTTGTCCTCTTATTACTGAGAGAAAAAACAAGAACAAAATCTATTCCATACCTGAGGATGTCTGTAAGAACAGACGAAAGCTTGTAAAAATAATAAGAACTCATGCAACAGAAATTTATAGAAACAAGGATCTTTTCATTCATAAACAGGTCGGGGTTTTTGTATATTATTTGAATTGTTCGCGACGATGGATTTCTCGCCAATTAAATCATTAACCTTTGTATTTGTTTTTTGTATGAATAATTCATGAATTTGTAAATTAATTGCACCTTTATTGAATATATATATATATATATATATATATATATATATATATATATATGATACTTTGTTTATTTACTACCTTAAATGTTTTATAATTTATAAATTTAATTAAGAGATCACATACAGGAATTCAGTTTACTGTTTGGCATAGATAACTTTTCTCTGGGGTTAACATAGGCCTATGAAAACCCTAATCTTCATCCTCAAGGATGCGTGGTAAATTTTCAAGACTTATTTCAGGAAAAAAACTGTCCTCGACATCAGCAAATACTTTAAACTTTTACCAAATGAAATAAATACTTTCAAAATTGGTCATGGATGTCAATCTTCCAGAAAATCTCTGATAATATTTGCTGTAATGTTGTGTAGAATGTTTTTGATGAATTTATGCCAAGTATTTGGAAAAAGTGTAGGAAGGAGGAGATTAACTTGGAAAAGATTTGAGAATAAATTTGTTTCTTATACATTCTTGTAGTTTTCTATCAAATTATGATTCTTCAACATTATGTAAAGAGAATTTCCTTATTTCTTATTTCTGATCATTCTTTTTAAAACAAATTTTAATGATAAATGTAACTGTTTTACTAAGAACTGAATAATGAAAATTTAAATCTAAAAATCTAGATTTTTGTTACATTGCCAAAATACAAACTTTGTTGATAAAAACTCGGATGTAATCAATGTAGGAAATTTATAGACCTATTGGCAAAAGTTGAATACAAAAACTAAGTATTTACAAAAGACTATTACAACAGGTCAAATTTATGCGTGCTTATGTAACAAAAGACAACAGCAGAGAAATGACATTCGTTGCATTCATGTAAAGATCTACAAACTGACTCTGCTTTTATTTTTGTTGGATACAAATTTTTATTTTCCCTGTTAATTTGAATTTTGCTCAATGTGGACATTTACTTTTGCTTTCTAGATTCTCAACTTTAAGAACTTGCTTATTTGAATTATTTTTATCTGGTTTATTTGGAAATGGTCATGTGTAACTATTAAAAAAAATCTAATTTCTACTTCTACCAAACCAGTTACCTCACCCACTCAACAAAGTAGATTCTCATATTTGTTGCTTGTATATCAATATCATTCAATACATTTTTTTTTTTACTCTACTTAAAAATAACAAGGTAACTCCAAAAGCAACTTTATTTTCATATATTTCTGTTGTTTTTATTTAATACTAACCAATCCACTCTTGATATCTCACATGTGTATAGATCAAATTGTTTTCTAATAATTCCTTGTCGTTAATTCCTTTGTTTCATCTTGTTTAAATTTCCTCTTGCACATTCTTATAAAATGGCCTCTTTTATGACAACCATAATGCTCTTCATTCTTGAAAAAACTACAGATTTTTGCATTATGTTTTCTCAATTTATATCTGAAATAAACTTTCCAATTTTGCTGAATTTCTTACAAGCATTCACAATGTAGTCTCTTGATCCACATATGAAATGACTTTCCCCAGTTCCTTTCTCTGTACAACTTAAAGGCAGCTACAGTAATTTTGGTTATAATATCAAAAGTTGCATCTCTTCTTTCATTTACCAATTTTTTTAAATAATATCTCAAATACAGACCATTTCATGTTTTGTCTTGTCTGCAAAATTTCATATTTTTACTAATTTTTGCAACTTTGCAACATACTTCTAGTTTCATTCTCATCTCTGTTTCTCATGATAAAACAATACCTTTTCATCACTTCATTTGGTTTAGGATTTAATTCTTCCTTGAGAGCATTTTTTTTTTTTTTTTTTTTTTTTTTTCAGATTATTTCATGGCATGTTAGTAAATGTCTTTGGATGTATCAAATTTTTCAGTTGATATTTCTAGGCTCAGATCTATTAGAAAATAAATGCACTTTTTGTTATCTGTGTCAATGGACACGGTTATGAAACAAATTTTATTTATGAATCATCAATGTCCTATAAGAGCAAATAGTTGTTATTTTAAATTATGTTCCAATTTTTTTTTCTCTTTGAATGTCACTTTAATCTGATATTTCTGCTAGTTCAAGCTGCATAGAAAAAATCTTTGCCATCAAGACTGGCATTAATGCCAATTAGACACAAGGGGCTGCTGGAAGTGAAAAAAAATGAAAAGACTATAAGGAACTGGAAACACAATCCTAAATAGAGAACAAGGGATAAACCTCTACTCCAGTTCAAAAGACTGGGGAGGATTGTAAACCAGATAATAGATGAACCATGATAATCATTGCTTGACCAATATTACAAAAATTGCCAAAGTGTCTGATCAGTGTTTATAAATTTATATTTAATATGTATATAATAGTTCTGTTATGTCAGTTATTGCAATTTAAATTTCCACAATACAATTTTCCTGTTTTATATAAAAAGAAACTTAAAATTATTTTAAACAATTGCAATACATACTTAGTCCTTTTTATTGAAAACTGGCTAACAATGAATATAATTTACTTGACTAGTGAGTTTAGACACCTATAGACATATTTAATCATAACTTTTACATTTAAGTCACCAATTCCCTGTGTAAACTGTAGTTTAATTTTCCATTTGTTTAAACACAGTGTCATCATATAAGTTCATCCCAAAATTAAATTATTAATTAGAATAATGATGACATTTTAATTTTCAACTAAGATGTCATCAGTACTTTCACATGTATATTTTGTAATTACTAACAAAGTAGCTATTATACACATGTTATAGATTTACATATATTGATGCAAAACTCTGGCAATTTCTGTAGTATTGGTTGAGCCATGGTTATCAAGTCCAGTCTTGTTTGTAAAGATTTGTTCTTACATATAAAGAATATAAAGACTCAAAATGATCATAATATCTAAAATCTTCAAACCTAGTTTTCTTTCTTTCTTTTCTCATCAAATAATGCAATCATAGCAACTGATGACATTTCATATATATGCTCAATTTATTTTATAGAATGAATTTGATGAATCCAAAGCACAACAACTTGAGGAATTGGAAGAGAATTATGAGAACAGTTTACGCAACATTGGCAGAGCACATATCAATGCTTCAAAACCGGTTTGTGAATGAATTTAAATCTTTTGATTTGTGCTTCTTTCTGTCTTGCATTCTCTTTTATATTGTGTATCTTTTTGCTTTCTCTCTGTGTGCTGCCTTTATTTTTATATAAAGGTGTGTTTAACAATTTTCTTGTCTCTATATTTCACTTAAGTTTCTTTTTTACTCTTTTTTTTTTTTTTAATAATTTCACCCCAAGAGACAAGGGGTTACTGAGTGTGAATGAATATGAGAAAAAAAACCTGTTAAGGAGCAGAATAATAAAAGGTCAGGAATTAAGAAGACAAAAGATAACAATTGACATTGCATTTAAATTTTTGAAGATAACAATTGACTGGGAAGCAAGAAGAATTCTACAAGTGAAAAGTACAAAAGAAGAAACTGTTGGGATAGAACTTATGTTTGCATCTAACCATTTCAACTATAAAGTGATGAGACCTAGCTGCCAATCTAGTACTGCACTTAAGTTCATAAAGTCTAGTTAACATAGAGGAAAGTTCATCAGAACAATTACCATGAAAGTATTTATAGAAAAGGCACAAAGAAGCCATGTTACAGTGGTGGGAAAGTGATTGAAGCTGAGATGCCAGGTCAGGACCAATAACTTTGTTGATTCTTCAAATTTTATCAAGAATCTCTAAATTTATAGGAAAGGCACTAGACAATATATGGTTGCAATATTCAAAGCATGGGTGAATGCTAGACTTATAAATATGTTAGATAGGTTCTGTTAAGAAAAATTATCTGGCATGACACAGTGAACTAACTTTCCTAGCAGCAGGCCTAGCAATTGATTCACTATGTTATAGACAAGCGTATGGTTGCAAGAAAGAAATACGACAATAGCAGAAATAGATTTACATGATCTATTTCAACAGGAACGTGTGGGTTTGGGACAGCTACCTTGTGGTATAGTTCATAAGCCGGCTGCTGATCCGGGTTGATCTCTCATAATTCTCACTGGTTGGCGTGGCGCTCCTACTGCTGACTTCTCAGACTGACCGTGAAAGATCTCTTCCCTGGCCTCCTGTTGACTGCTAGTACTTCCCCGTGTGACCCCTTTTATGGTGTTTTTTATGGCTTAACAGGCTCGAAAAACAACGCAAGTATAATTAGGAGGGAAGCATTTTTATTGGTCGAAAAATAGAAACATTTTAAAATATTATTTTATTTTTTGACCGGGACTTGTGCGTCGGGCTTATGCGCAAACGACAATAATGGTCATTTTGTGACGGGGCCTTGTGCCATTCACACCCGGCTCTCACTCTTGAGTATGTTAGTTTATTTGCCTGCAAATCAGCCGAGATATGTTTTATTTTATTTTATAACAACTATAATCTTTCCATTTCACGTCAGTTGAAAAATGTTAGTCTCAGAAGGTGCTATAAGTCACTCTGCTGGAGGTTAGCATCAGCCATGCTGATGGAAGGAAGAATGTGTTCTTTTAGATGATTAAAAGAAAGCAGTTTTGTTTTGGAGATGTTAAAATTAACAAGCCATTTCTTGCCTCAGTTAACAGATTGTATGTCATTTTTGGGATCAGCTGCCAATTTGACCATATCGTATTGATCAAAGTTACTATTAAAACAGCAGTAAAAATTTGTCATCAGCATAGATATCAAGTTGAAAATGATGATATAAAGAAGGTTGTTAATGAAAATTAGAAACAACGTAGGACCAAGGATAGACCTCTGAGGAACGTCTGCATTAATGCAAAAAGCTCTAGATCTTTCATTTAGCAATTTGATAAGACTGGATCCAAAAATTCACTCAGAAATACCTATAACCATTCAATTTGGGAAGAAGACCAGTATGTACAAACCCTGTCAAATGTCTTTGAGATCTCCAAAGCACTATTCTTATCTAAAGCTTGATAGACTTTCAGCAATAATTGTTAATACACACAAGGAAAGATCAATAAATATGTGGTCTGGCATAGCTTAATTTTAGTCTGTGTCATATATGATTTTTGTGCTCTCTAGAGAAGAATTGGGTTAAGTGCATTGATGTGGAAGATTATATTGAAAAATAAATGAGATGAGTACAATTTTACCATTATTAGGCTACATTGATAACCCTGTCTTCTTATTTATAGCTTCATTTTTTACCCACTTCAGAAAATGAAAGGACTTATTAAAAAATATAATTTTTATCATTTTTTTATTCAACTCACAGATTGTAGTTTAAATTATTAATCTCAGTCCATGTAAAAATTATCTTAAATAACTATAAGAAATAACCCCAGGTTATAAAAAAATATATATATATGTATCTGTCTTTTATGTTAGTATAAAATCAAGGTTTTTCAACTCCATAGGTTTTCTAAGTTCAGTTAGATTTTTATTCCTAAAGGTGCATGATTATATTGATACAGTTTTTTTTTCTTCTAAAATGGATATTATAATTTTGTTAACAAACGAGTAGTCAAATTTAGTACTAGCCTGAAATCTTCTATTGGAAACTCATATAAAATTTATTCAGTGCTAGAATTTGTTTTATAATGTAGTCATTTAGTCAGTTTTACTGTGATTACTCCTCAGTGTTATTATTTACAAGGGCATACTGAAAGGTTATTGGCTTGATCATATGACCAAACATTAGAATTCCTTTTAAAATCTCTTGATTGGGTTGAGAACCTTTCAGCACACCTTTTTGTTTTACATTCTTAAACTTTGATGATTCATTTTGTCTCTCTCCATAGATGGAAGATGAAGACAGAAAGGAAATATTAAAACGAAAAAATAAATTAAAAGCTGTTTACAGACATAATGCTGCCTTGGAAAGACTGCATGATAGCCAAGTGAGAAAGTATGTTCATGACAATAAACACATCATTGCAAGGTAAGAACAAGTGAAAGCTTATATTTAATAAATAAGGATAATTATTATACTGGATATCTTTATTTGAAAAATTGATTGATTCTGAATTTGTGATGTGACTTTTTTAATAAAGTTTTATGATTTATTTAATAATAATAATACAACTGAAGAATACGTGAACATAAGAATTTAACTTTTTTTTTTCTTCAGACTAACAGAACTTCTGCTAAAAAGCACTCAATAAATAACTAGAGCTATAATATTCAATAAATCAAAAGCTTGATTGACTTATCTGGTTAGCCAACTCGAGTTTCACATCAAAATGCTCATCAAGGCCAGATGTTTGATAAATTTATCAAACCTTTTAGCACTGATGTGTATTTTGGCATGAATCTCTTTAGTCGGTGAATCAGATAAGGCATTTGAACCTTTCTTGATTTATTAAATATGATTTATTTATAAAGGTTAGATTTTGAAAGGTAGTTTGAAATTGTTTTTATGGACTGTTTTAGTGGTGAGCATGTGTCCTTAAGTGAATATTTCAATCTTGTACACACTTAACTGATTTTTTTTTTCTATTTCCTTTCTTGTTTTTTTTTTCTCCTTTCTCTTCCATTCTGACATAATAAAAGCATGCATTGGATTGGTCAAAAATTTTGTTGTTTTCTCATCAGATGTCATTAAAAGAATTCTGTTTTAATTAAAGTTCATTAAAAAGATAGTTCACAATTGTATTGGGAAAGCTGTCGTATTAGCAAAATTTTTTAAAAAGTTGACATTTTGTTTCTTTTATTGATTCTATCATTACAAATGGAAGAAAACATTTTGGACTTATGGTTTTTCTATTTTAAGAAAAGTAAAAATTTGTCTCGAATGCAAAATAAGGAATACAGTTTTATAAAGAAGGTACTATGAAAGACCGAACATGCCAGAAGTGGTTCCCAAAGGCTTGTGCTGAAGATTTCTCATTGAATAATGGTCTATGGTTAGTTACTTCAGGTTGATGTTAATCAAATCAAGTAATAGTCAATATTGTATGACATGGGAGACAGTCAACATCGTCAAAATATTCAAATCAAGCATTGAAAGTTATTTGCATAAACCTGGCTAACATACTGGCTAGAACAGAATAAAGGTTATGTGGGCTAATTAGCATATGATTATGATTCTGAATGGTTCTACTCCCTCTGGTATAGTCAAAAGGGGATTTTTTTGGTAAAGAATGTTGATACTGTAATTTGAGTTAAATTGCATCAAATACATGTCTATACCCATATATAAAACATATGTATTTAGCAAAAATATTCAATGAGCTGTTTGAAACTGGCTGATATTTCCCATAATTAGCTTTGCACAGGCCTGTATGCATAATAAAAAAAAACAAAAAAAACTACTGGATCATATTTCTGTGTCGATCGCTACTTAAACATAGTGTAAATGTTTTTCTTTAACAAATTTGGATTACCAATGAAAAGTGGATATATTACAACAATATAGAAAGAAAGAAATCCTGCTAGCAAACTTGACCATCATTAACCATACCACTAGTTGGTTTTCCTTCAAAGATGGGAATATTGCATATATGATGGAATTGGAAGGCTTCTTCTATTATGAGATTCTTCAGGTTAAGCAAACATTTGATTTGAATGACTTCTGCTCCCAATTCAATTAATTGAAGGTAGAAATCAATAAAATGTTCAGGGAGATATGAGAAAAGGAGTAATATTCTATCAGGATAACACAACACTGTATGTTTCTTTAATGACCAAGGTTGATTGGATAGTTTTTATTTATCATATTCAACAGATTTTGAACCTTTTGGATTACTATTTATTCCAGTACTCTCAATATTCTCTTAATGAAAAATCAATTCCCTGGAAGATTGCAAAAGTCACTTACAGCAGTTATTTACTGAGAAAGATAAACTGTTCTGGAAGGGTGAATTTATAAAGTTACCTCAAAGATGGTAGAAGATAGTGGAATAAAATGGCAAATATATTGTTCAACAAAATTAATTTTGAAAACAAAAAAAAGTCTTCATAGACAAAACAAATCTTTTAAATTAATCAATACCATTAGTTATAAAGAGAGAAAATATTTGTTGAATGAAATGTGCATTTGGTTCTATGCAGGTTTGAGTTAAAATTGATTTATGGTCTTAAATATTCTTATTTTAACTGTCTTAAATTTTTTCTTGAACCATTTAGGAAAGCTGCTTTAGAAAAAGAGAAAGACCGTGCTGCTCAGATAGCTTCTCTGCCAAAGCCATCTCAAGGAATCCTACAAGCTGTTCAGCAGAAGGGTGAGATAAGTCCCAGTGGCACTTATATACAAATGGCATATAAGACAATCATTATTTTTTCTCTCTCTCTTCTATAAATTGCTTTATTGATCATTAGAAATGAAAAAAAATGTTATGAATAATTCTTGAAATAAATTGATCAGCACTTGAAAGAGCTCAATGAATGTAATTAAAATAAAAAATATTTTCCTAATAGAAATATTGATTGATGCTATGTAAACCAAATTATTGTTCATATCACATTTGTAAAAAATGACTATTGATTTTTTTTGTTTTTTTTTTTTGTAGTGTGTCCTGTCAGTATAAGAAATGAGAATATGAATCAAGATGAAATCTATTATCCAGTAACAACAATGGTGAAAAGGCACCACAATGAATCGGTAAGGAAGATTTAATATTCAAAGGGCTTCTTTTTTTTTTTTTTTTTTTTTTTTTTTTTTGAATGACCTTTTTATTACTGCATTCTTTCTCTCAATGTTTTGACCATTTCATTTTTCAGCCTTCTTCAGGTGGTGGATATGTTCACTTTACAATCTTGTTGTAGTTATTTGATATGTAATTACATGTTGGCCATCTCTCTTTCTGAGTCATTTAGATTAATTAAATAGAGTGAGTGGCCATTGTTAAATATAACTAAATGGCAGAAATACCCAATAAAGAGAATCAACAAAGTTTGCAATAAACAACAAGAGAAAGAAAAGTACTAGGTAAAAATAATATAAACAATTTATGCAAGGTAAATATGGCAAAAAGTTCACAAATTAAGAATTGGGATATGCAAATGTAGCATTCTAACTTCAATACAAGACAGACAGGGACTGAGTCAGATGAAACCAACAAGTGACCTATCTTATTGGCTCAGAAGAAATCCCAGCATGCATTTGGATGTTTCTGCCTATAAATTGGGGTGGGGAAAGTGTTTTCTCGTCATTCCCATTGTGGAATTGGAACCAACAAACAACTACTCATCTCAAAATCTTTTAATTTGACAAGGAAGGTTTAACTTTAAATCATTGTCTAAAACTAGAAAATTTTTTTATTCAACCTGAAAGTATAACTAACAACCAATTGGTTTCACCTAATTGTTTCTAGTTTTTAATGTGAATTGCTTTATTATTATTGAGATTGAATTAAGACAAATAGGCGACTGGGGATGGATGATTAACATGCAAAATTTTGTTGCTGGAATTGGATTGAGAATTTTTTTAAAGAAATTTTTGCATTTTACCTTTGGATTAACTTAAGTTTATTATTTAAGATACTGAAGTAAGTATAATGTTTATTTATTTTGAATTTTGCATATTTTATATTTAAATAAATTTTTACGATGCAAAATTCACAAGGTAAGTGTCATTAAGAATTTGCCACACAAAGTTAATTTAAATTTTAATATTTTTCTTTATTTTTTCTTCAACAATGACCATATTAAGTATAAAATTAATTTTTTATGCATAATTTGTTTTTCTTTAACAGGTAATTTTTTAAAAAGTATGAACTTTTCTGTCCTTCATGAATAAATAGAAGACATTAAAAAAGTAAAAATGTAATTATTTTTTACTGCAAAATTTATGAAAAATGATACTTATTAAAGAATTTATCACATGAAGTTAATGTCAAAAATTAAATTCAATAATAAATTTAATATTTTACAACTATTCTTAAAAATATACCACAAAGATGTAAAAGAGACAACGTTGTCTTATCAATATTGTCTTTCTCATTTTACTTTTTTTGCGATTATTTTAAACAGCGAAATTCACAAAAAAATCTCATTAAGAATTTTTTCACAGAAAGTTAATTTAAATAATTTTTTTATGCTTTTACTCTTCATAATAATGAATATTTTGATTATAAAATTCATTTTTAATGAATAATTTGTGTTCCCTTTATAAGTATGTTGATACTGTCTTGTAAAATGAATGTGACTTTTTACACTGCAAATTTTCTTATTTTACTATACAGAAAGGGGAGGAGGTGACTGATATGCAACCCACACCCACAAATACAATTTTCCAAAATTTAATTTTCCACTCTTAAAATTCCCATGTCTGAATCCCAAATTTCATGGCATTCCTTAATCCATGTTGGTCTCTAAAAGATTCTCACATTCATACAAATTTTAAATTCTAAAACCTAAATTCCAAAGTCACAACTCTCCAGACTTTAGAATATAATTTTCATACACTTTTTAGAAGCACCATGTAATTTTTACAAAATAGTAGTTTAGTTAATATTTTTTAATTTCAGTACCCCAAATTTTTCTCAAAATTGTCAAAAAAAGTGCTGTGTAACAGGTTGTCATGGTAACTATAATGACCAAAATAAGGTTTGTGTATTTCGTCTTCCCCAAAACAGAATGAGCGAGAATGATAGTGAAAGGTTATATGTCGAGAACACTCCTGACAACCAAACACTATTGTTTGTGAAAAGCATTTTCCATTTGATTATGAAACTGTGGTTATTAGAGGAAAAGTACAACCCAGAAATCCACCATCAGTATTTGATCATTTGCCATTACCTAGTCCACAATCAAATCCAAGAATAACATATAAAACTTCTGCTTCTGTGCAAAATGATGAGTTGGCACAATTTCTAGAAAAGGACAAAATCCTCACTTTTGAAAATTTGTATCAGAATATTGATCAACAGAATTTTGTGTCAGCAGTTACATGCTATAAATCAATCAGTTCTTCATCCAATCTACTGATTTTTTTTTTTAATTAAAATTTTTGAAAATTTGAGATTCAAATGTTATCATGCTGGGGTATATATATATAATATGTGCGTGTTTCAGCACTGGTCACAAATTGATGAAGCAATTTGTTATCTTAACTTAAAAACCTGTTGAGTGACAAAATGTTTCTCATTGTTTAAGAAAAAATTTTAAAAGAACATGTTAATGTTATGTCACCACAAAGGATTGAGACAAAACATTATGGCTCTGATATTCTTATCAAGGCATTTGAATATTTTGCTACATCTCAGTCATTATATAACAGACTTCAGGATGAGTTTAAGTTACCCAGTATAAGAACATTATCAGCTTCGCCATCAAAAGTCTTAAAATTAGATGACATTAATTTTCTTGGTGATAATTTTAGTAAAATTTCTGAAAATCAGAAAAAGTGTATTCTTTTAGTTGATGATGTGTATGCCAAAGTTGCTCTACAATATCATGGAGGAAATTTATTTGGTTTGGCTGAAAATTCTGAGAGATTACCAAAAACAATATTGGGCATCATGGTAAAATGTTTGAATAGTGGACCAAATATTTTACTTAAAATGATCCCAGTTTCAAAATTAGATACAACTTTTTTATATGAAAAAATTTTATATATTGTTGATGCAAACAAATGGTCAAGTAATTGCAATTCTGTGTGACAAGAACAGAACCCATCAATCTTTTTTCAAACAATTTGACACTGTTTTTAATAAGCCTTGGATAACTAAAAATGGTTTGTACTTTTGATTATATCCTCCTTTTTAAAAATATTTGGAATAATTGGATTACTGAACCTACTTCTGAATTACCGTTTTATTCTGAAGGCAAAAAAATGACAGCAAAATGGGAAATTGTAAAATGTCCTTTTGTGTATGAAAAAACTCAATTTGTTAAGCTGTTGAAACAAACTAATGTAGCAGTTTACCAAAAAAGCTGTTGAATGACAAAATGTTTCTCATTGTTTAAGAGATTTTTTGCAATCAAACTGTAGCTACCATTAAAACAAACTCATTATTAACTGCAGAAACAGTTAATTTCATTGAAAAAGTCTTAAATTTTGGAAAATTGTGTGTGTCAAATAAATATTTGGTGACACTAAGTAAAATGATCTACTGAAAAGTGATATCAGAATTAGATGATGAACATCTGTTATTTCTTTCTAATTTTGGGAAAATGACAAAAAGAATGGAAGGAAAGGATGGAAAAAGAATTAAATCATTAACAAGAGATACTAGTTTAGTCACTGAACATTCATGAATGGCTTAATTGATGTTTGCAGATATTTGCTAAACAGTGGGTTTAATTTTGTTATGAGTGGTGAATTTACCAGAGATAATTTGAAAAATTAATACATTAAGATCTGGAGGTGTATATTTTATAACAGTTCAAAATGTTATTGAAAAAAACTAAAACAACTTAAATTAAATGTTGAAGTCAAAGAATATAATTTTGATCCAGGCTATAATGGGATGCCAAACATTTGATAATTTACCAGACCTTAAAACTAGGATCCCTAAAGATATTAAAATGTTACTTTTGCATATAGCAGGAAAAGATTGTCTCACAGAAGAGGAAATATTTAATAATATTAGTATTTATTTTCAAGAATATGAACATTTTTGAAAGAAATAGATTGTAGTAATTTAAAAATTCTACTGGATAACACAGGGATACCAGATATTTTTTATTTTCAATTTTCCGTCCTTTTACATATATAGAATTGGTTAACTCTCCAAATTATTCTGTTAATTAATTTTGTTTGCCTGTTAATGTAAATTGATTTTAATTCTTAAAACTATGTGTACTGATAATATCTATTATTTTATCATAGCAAAATAAATATTTTCTTCATTTTCTGTGAAACAAATTTTACATCTAACAAAAATGACAAATTTTGTAAAGATTATCGAAATTATTGTTTCTCTGAAATTCACATCTTTTGTAAAGTATTTTCAGACTTTGTTGATACGTTTTTGTAAAATGCCAAAATTGCTTTTTGATTGTATTATACATGTATGTATTCTGTAATAAATTAGCATAAACAAACTCATTATTTTTGCAATATTATCTAAAAATTTCTAATTTAAGGTGAATAAAGTGATTTTTGTGCATTTAGTAATGGTATTTTTGTTCTTTTTTTGTACATTTGCATTTATGGAAATAAGTCAATAATTGTAAGATGCTTCCTGATATTATATATAGTTATAATTATTGGACATTAATAACAAGTTCTTTGCTAAAAATTTAGGCTTACCGTTGTGAACCACAGTTGCATGGTTGTGAGGCCTGGTATATGGATTGCCTTGATATATATTCTAAAGAAATAATGGGTTTTTATTTATTAAGCTGACATTTAAACATTATTTTTAGTGGCTACCCATATTTGACTAGATGCTCTGTTTATTTTTAAACAGTATTATATTTTTGTCTACCGGCCTGAATATTTGAGAAATCTTATTAAAGAAAAATGCACCCTCTGGTAAGATTCGAACCTGCATCCCCTTTTGCTGGAGAGACCATCATGAAATACAACAAACTTTTAACCAACTCAGTCACGAAGAGCATCATCAATTAACAAAGCTGTATACTGCCTTTAAGCATGTCTTTCTTGCTAAAGATGTCATTAATAAATAAAAGTCCATTTATTTCTTTAGAAATTGCTTTGTTTACATTCTGGTACAAAACTGATCAGTTATCAACTTTCAGGAATCTAAATGAGAAGGATGTGCTTAAATGAAAATGCTCTTCCTTGCAGGTTAGATCTATAATCTGTATATATATATACACACACACACACACATTACGGCTAAAAAATTTGAGTTGACTCCCTGATAATTTAAATTGTCCCAAAAAGTAGTTGTTTTGTACTTTAAATAAGAGAAAATTATTATACATGGTTAAAAAAATTTGAGACATGATTTTTTTTATTAGAAATTTTATTATGACAAAAAGAAAAAAGCATTTTATGATTAAATTTTGCTCTTGTAAAAATATTGTCCTTTAGCCATGATTACTGCAGTGCAAATTTTTGGCATTTGTTGCAAAAGTTTCTCAAAGTATAAGTTTGATAATTGATTCCATTGCTTTTTGTTTTTTTTAATAACTTTAAGAGCTCTTTTCTTTTTCTTCACTCTTCTGTCAAGTTCATCCCATGCTAATTCTGAGAGTAGCTTCAAACTTTTGAAACTGTAGTCATATATACACACACACACTATTAAAGATTTTTCAAAAAACAAAATTAAATGATTGACCAGTGTATTTCTGGAGGATAACACTTTTAAAGCAAACTGTCTTTGTAAATAAAGTGCTTGATATTGATAAATAGACCATTAATAGTAAACAAATAAAATAAAAAGTTCAAGACCTTGTATAGGCAAATAAAATCTGTGAAGCATGAAACTTGGGAAGATAAATTTAGAACTTTTTATTTGTCTGTATGCAGGCATATATGCGAGGGAGGTAAATCTACTGAACAGTTTCATCAAATTTAAGATTGGTTTTTGCAATCTTACCTACCAAAAAACTAAAAAAAAAAAAAATAAAATAAAAGCTGAAGAACATATTTGTAAATAATAAATACCTAAGTAATAAAAGCAAGATCCATTTTGCTATTTTAATGTTTATTCTCATCAATCTTGGTATTACTTAGTTTTACAATAAATTCTAACAGTCAAACAGTATTTGATACAAGTTCTTTAAACAATGCAATTGTACTAAAAAAAAAATATAGTAGATTGGTGCAAACAAATCATTTCTGCATTGTACTTGAAACTGTCTCCAGTGTTAATCAGACATTGTTTCATAATAGTTGAAGTGATTATTACCTGCCAATTTGTTGATTGCTGATTATCTGCCACAGGTAGAAGATGGTCGAAAGGCAGCCTTGATTCAAGAAGAAAGACTTGATGAGCAACTCCATCATGCAAGATCTCTGGCTGTGGAACGAGAACAGGTGGCACAAATCCGTTTCAAAAAGGCTATAGACAAGGAATTACTTAACAGGGTGAGTTGTCCCCATTACTCTCAATTCATTAGTTTCATATTTAACTTTCTATTAAGATTAGTTGAAAACATAATGATATTACTAAATACCAGTATGTGTCATTTTTAGTAAAAATCTACTAAAGAAAGTATAAATTTGATTTTTTTCCTTTATTTTTCCAAGTGTGTATAGGGATTACAATTTGGATAAACGTTTTTCAATTACTGTTGATGTTTTATTTGTTGGTAGGGTGTGTGTGTGTGTATAATATATATATATATCTATATATATATAAAAAAGTGGGAGTGCTGAAAAATCATTAATCCAAACTACTTCCCCAAAATCTGACCAAATATTATTTATTTTGGAATCCTTTTTCAATCAGGCTTTTCAGCACTTTCATATATCTCTTGTTTGATCAAATATCTATTCTTTTTACAGGACAGTGAAAAAGTAATCAAGGAGTTAAGCTTTCTTCAAAAGAAACAGATGAAACAACGTCAAAAACAATTGACCACAATTCCAGTTAGTATTCGTATTATGCCTTTATTCTATAATGATTTTTGTTAAATATGAAAATTAGACAAACCTTAGCTTTAGCCATATTCTTCTACTAAGCAAGACTCACTCAGCAAATATGCAGAAAGAATAAATAGAATTTTTGATATAGAACAGTTTGCTTTTCAGTGAATTAGGTCAACTGCTTTTCATATCAACTCACATACACACACACATATATATATATATATATATATAGGAAATCGGGTGTTAATAAATACAGCACTCAATGTTATGAAACAGCTATTAGTAAATATACATAATATCCAACGTTGATAACAGAACTCTGATTTTCAAGCAGTTAATACAATCTTCAAGATTGCATTAACTGCATGTAACCCCAAGTAGTGTTATCAACTTTGGATATTATGTATATTTACTAATGATTCACTAAAAAAATGAGTATACATGATGAAAAATTCTCCAAACTTTAAAAAAAAAAAAAGTTTTATTGTCAAAATCTTTTTTTAAGAGAAAAGACCAAAGGATTTTTTGATTATTAAATTATTGTAGTGTTATTGACTCATGGGAAGTTGTATGGACACAAGTGCCTCATGGTTAATAGCTGTAGCTATTTATAATCTTTGATTTCATATGTAAATGAGTCATCTCATCTCCCTGTACTGAAGAGGTCTTATCACTTTATTTTCCCTGGTACTTCTTCTGGGAGCTTTTGTCTCCTCACTATCTTCCTCCTTCTCCCTAAGAAATTGTCTAGATATGGGAGATTGTGATCTTTTTCTTTTTTTTCATAGGAGTGTTCCACCAATAATTGTTCATCTTCAGAGTTTATACCACTCTTGATTTCACTGTCATGTTTGTCTTGCCATGACATGACACTTTCTCCTTCATTACTTTCAGGCTCACTGTACATTTCTTCATCGCTATCATGTTGCAATCTAACTTGGTCTGCATGCACTAATATCCCATTTCCATTTTTTTTCTATAATCATAATGTTCTGTCCACTTTGCATTATGAAACTTGCCTCTTGTAGGTAAGATTCGTTATTCTTTTTATACCATATTTTTTTTGTTGGTAGCATGGTCAATGAGGCTGTTTTTATAGTTTGCACCATCCATTCTGTAAATCCATTGTTTTATTTTCTCGATTATTCATGTTCTTAAAGTCTATAATTTGTAGTTTCTCCTTCATGCATAGAAGAATTTTTCTATTGCACTTTTCCAGTTAGCATGAAAACTGTCCAAAGTTCATAAATTTTTCTTCTGAAAAGGATGAACGATGAGATTCAAATTTTCAAGGTGATATTTTTGCAGGTCAATTGCAATATTTAAATGACACAGTAAATGAAATTAATTTTAAACTTTTAGAACTTCTAGGAGAGTCAATATATAAATCTTTCAACTATGGTAAATTACTCTGAATCAGTGAATTGCCCTATAATTTTTAAATTAACAGAACTCTTCTGGAATTAATCTTAAATAAAATCCCTTTTTTCTTAGAATTTTCCTCAATTTCTGTAATGGGACTGATGGTTAAGAAAATATTTTCTCTGCCATAGAAACATCAATTTTGATAGTTTGTGCCAAACATATTTTTTAATTTCAAGAAGTCTTTTGATTCTAATTAAATTTAAACTGAATTTTCAAACTGCAATGAGCATCAATAAGGTACAAGGACAAAGTCTCACTGTCACTTAAAGTGATTTAGAATTACATTGTTTTTCTCATGATCAGTTGTACCTCTCTTTTTCCAGAGTTGAAAACAGCAAAAATGTTCTTTTTTAACTGCTTACAGAAAGATATTGTCTATTGGCAAGCATTGAAATAGACATAAAGAATTCATGTACATAAATGTAAAAAATTTAAAAAGAAAAGATGGATTTTTGAAAGAAAAAAAAAATAATTATGTAATAGTAATTTACATAAAAATATTTTTCCTTCCAAAAATCCATCTTTTTAAAGTTTTTTTTCCTTCATTTTTAAAGTATTTTAAAGAAAAGTAATTTTTCCCAGAAAATGTTTAAAAAATTGGTATTAATAGAATTCCATTTTCATCTTATACTTGTTTGTTTGTTTTTAAAGGTAAACTAGAACTATTTTCTGAATTTCTCAGGTACAACAATTCTGATAGAATAAAGATTGTCAATATCTTTTTGAAGCAATTGTTAGAAAGTGTTATGAACTGATATGATTGTAATTATTTCAGATATTTATAAACCTTGGCAGGAAAGGATATTTCTCATTTCTGTGTTTGTGTGTATAAAAATATACATAACTTTGTGATGAAGTTAAAAGTTCTTTTAGACTTGTGCTTGAGAGAACATTGTACAACATAAAAGTACAAAATGCTCATCAACTATGCCAGCATTATTTTATATAAAAGAAGAAAAAAAATTTTAATCTCAGGTCTAACATTTTTATTTTTATAAAAGAAACAAGTCTTCCTACCACCTTATAAAAGAGCGGAAGCACTTCAAGACAAGCAAAGAATTATGGAAGAAGAGTTTGAACAATTCTATGTTGGAGATCAAATGGGTGAGTAGTTGACATTCATGATTTAGTATTCACATTTCTTCTGTCTGGCAAATGTTTTTGTATAACATTGTTTACACTTCATTTGTGAAATGATTATTACTCATTTTATAATAAAAAAGTTTTTTCTAAATAAATTACATTTTATTATTCAATTTGTTTTATCTTAATTTTTTAAAATTTTAATTAAAAAATTAAGATGAAATTAAATATGAATCAAAATTAATCATGTTTGATAATGCTTCATCTAATATAAAGATGATACTGCTGCTATTAAATTATGGTAGTTTTAGAAAATTGTGCCCTGTTCTTTTTAGCACTGAAGAGTGATCTGAGTGTTTTGCTGGAGCCACATCCACCTCTGGAGACTCCACATCAAACTGACGCCCTTGACCTTACCTTGACATCAGACACTGACACTTCACCTGCAAGAAACCCTCCAAATCAATCCTCAATAATGAAGGATATCACAAATGTTTCTCATTCCCCTGCTCAAACTGCTGTCACAAAACGTAAGTTCATGTTTTTTTTTGTTTTTTGTGTGAAGTGAAAAATCTTCCTACCCAATCTGGTGGTTTGAATGATCATAATTATTAAGACCTACTGTGTGTGTGTGTTTGTTTTTTTGTTTTTTTTAACTAGCCTACTAATCTTTATTGTATTTGTATAAATTATTTTGATTAGTAGTCTGTGATCTTCTTTGCTTGATAAGGCTTAGGTGAAAAATGTTTGTTCCTTTTAGCTGGAATCAAATCCTTGTGCATTAAGACTTTTACTGCTGCATCATTATGGGAAAAATAAGAAATTGTCATTTACTGGCAATAAATGACTATAAAGACAGTGAGTGTAATTTCTCATGGGTGCTGCCATTTTGGTTTCAGTTGGATACTCTGCAGTACAGGCTAAACTGAATGACACAATAAAAAATGTTACTAAACAGGTGAAATCATTTAGAAAAAACACCAAGTATTAGTTAGTTCATAATCCAAATGCTGGGGGCCAACATTTCACAATGACTTGAAAATAAATATTTATTTATATATATATATATATATATATATATATATATATATATAATTTTGAATGATTTCTGATTAAACTATAGAGGTGATCCAATTATAGACATTCAAATGTGATTATATATGAGGAGGTGCTGAAAAGTTCTTTCCAGCCCAGCTAAGAATGAATTTTGAAAAAAGAATTCTGATATTTGGTCGGATGTTGGGAAATGAGCCTGGTTGAGAAGTTTTCAGCACCTACTCATTTAGTCACCGCCGTTTTGTTTTCCCTAAAAGCTTGATGTGCCACCATTTTCTTTGTATTAATAGTTGTAATAAAACAGACTCTTGAATTAATGGCAAAGCAACTATTTTATATTAGATTAAGGATTTCCATGAGAATGTTTGTTGTTGTTTTTTTTTGTTTTTTTTTGCTAAAGGGATTTTGTATGCATAGATTGAGTTTAATATCTTACAATGTCTTTTCTCCATGAAAAGAAAATGTATTTGATATAATACTGTATGACCTTCTATTCAAGACTTGTTTTCTCAACATGAAATATGATTTCTAAGATTATGACCAAATTGAATAAGGGTCACTGCTTAAAAGTAAAAAGAGTTTCAGCTTATATTCTTAAAAATATAACCTATTTTGTGAGCATCAAGTTTTATTATACAAACTTAGTACAACATAAAGTCTTATAAATACATTTAAAAGATATAGGCCATAGAAACATAGATTAACACAATGTCACATATTATCTTACTGTAGCTTCATAGATTATGTTCAGTGTTAAGCATTAAGAGGTGTTCTGGATATGTATTACATTAGGTCACTGACAAACCAAGGCAAAAAAATATAATAATCATAAATCCTTGTTCAGTTTAAGAAACCATGTGATACAACACTCTATAGATACATATGGAAATTTAAAAAAATGACCTAGTGATCAGATGTATTTTAACATGAGCACAAGTTTGTGGTGGTATTGGAAGGTGTACGCTGTGCTTTCAAGAGAAGTGCACCCTGGAGTTTAGTCAGCTTGATAGACTATTAAATAAAAACACTAAATTATTGTCTAAATACTATCATATTAATATTTGCTGTTATTTGTTTCCTGATTAGTGATTGGTTGATCTAAGGATTTCAATTATATAACAATATTTAAGCAGGCCTTTGAATGATTTTATAATGCTTGATGATCACTTTACTATGTTGAAACTTAATCATGTTTTTTATTGATTTTTTTCTTCTTCAGATGTTAACTATATTTTCAGACTTGTTATTAATTATTTTTGCTGATATCATTCTGTCCATTTGACATTGAACACTGATTTTTAAACTGACAGTATGTAATATCAAGTTTGTTATCATAAATAATACTGTTGTATTATTATTTATTTGTATTGTTATATATATATTTCCTCCACCACCACTCCTCTCCTTAGGTCAAACATTGCAAAGTTTATTTGACCGGATCAAGTCACAACGTGATGAATGGATTTCTGATATGGCTGAAAATTTACAAGATGCAGAAGTAGCAAGTGGAAAAGATGAAATACAAGGAACTGGTGTCCCTGTTCACATGCCAACTCTATCAGAATCTGGGGAGAACGATGAAATTGGTTAGTGATTTAATTTTTTTCCATACTTTTAGTTTGTTTTTTTTTTTTGTTGTTTTGTTTTTTGTTTTTTGTTTTTTTTTTCCAAGTGAGTTTTAATATAATTACTTTTTGTTCATTGTTCAGTGAAATTTCTAAAAATTATTAGGTGTACTTTAAAAAGAAAATTGGTCTATTTTATTTTTTTACAATCAGTGCAAAATATAAAAAGATTATTATAGTATTCTTATGAAATTAAAATTATATTATTTTCTGAATAACTTAATTAAATTTAAAATATTTTACAAACTTTTAACAAAAACTTTTCCAACTTTTTCATGATTATTATTTTATACACACACACACACACACACACACACACACACGTGCGTGTGTGTATTTGTCATTTAGCTGATTGGTGTTACCTTCAGTATTCCAACTCCAGTATTATCAATATGCATTTTGGATGACAAGTTGCCATAATGCCATGTGAATTAAACATTTTTATTACAGTAGCGATTTTTATTCTTTTGACTTATTGCTAGTTGTTTTTATTTATGAATTGACACGCATTTTTGAATCAGATGCTGCAAGATAAATTTTATCTTAATTCTTTAATATATATTAATAATTCATAATATTTTTAAGAATTTTTCTGTGATTAGTAAGTGGTGTTTATTTATCTCTTGACAATACAAATTTATAAATTTAATAATAAATAGCACAGGATGCCAGAATATGAATAAGCCAGTAAAAATCAGTCCTCTACACTAAATTAGTTTGTTTATAGAGTAAATCTATCACTGCAATATACTTGTCTACTTCTTAAATGTCTGTCTTTTCTATGTATGTAGAAATGTATATGATTGTAACAAAATAGTTTTTATTTTAACAAATCTTTTTAACATTTTCAGAAATTTCTGATAGTTTAACTGAAGTATTAAGTAACATGGAAAGAGTTGAAAGACGACAAGGAAGTCTCTTAGATGAAACCAGTTCTGCAACAATGCCTGTGGCTAATGTAGTACAAAAGATGGAACAAATCCAGAAACACCTGCAACAAATTTCTCTGACTGAAGATGACACCCACCAGGAAGTTTTAGCCAAACCTGAAGAGACCAAAGATATGGCCAGTGAAGACCCTTCAAGTTTTCAGGTAAATAATTATATCATAATATGACTTTAAGTGCCTAAATTGATCTATTGCTATTAGTATCGAAATGTGAAAAACATAGCTTAAGTTTTCATTTGCTGTTCTTGTGGTTTAATATCTGTCCTACCTTTAAGTATTCACTCAGTGCAAAACTAGTTGTTTGTGTCTGCATGTGTTTTGAAAATTTTCAGGTGAAGGGAGAGAAAAGATTCTCACTGTGTTATAGGCTCTAAGAACCTGCTAATATTTTTATTCTATGGGTTGAGATTGGACAGTTCAAATGTCAACCGTCCCCTTTGAAGTGAAGGGAGAGGACTGCTACTGGATGGTAGTTAGCAGTTTGAAGCTAGACCTCCTATGAAGAGGAGGGTTTTTTTTTTCTCTGCTGCTGAAATGGCAGGCAGTGTTTCCCAAAGAAAAAGATTTGAGGAGAAAGAAAAGAACTGAAGACATGTTTCCATTTCAGTAAAGAGCAAGTTCTTCAAAGAAAGTTTAAGAAGAGGTCCTCTCTAAGAAACCCCAGAAAGAAGTACTTGACGTAACAAAGTTTTATCATAAAGAAAGAGCTGAGAAGTCCCTAAGTGTTGTTTGGGACTAAAGACGTATTTACAGTGGAGAAAAGGTTCTTTTAAAAGAGCAAAAGTCAAGAAGAAAGATTTCTTTTAGCAAACTAAAGGAATGGGAAGAAAGGATTTATCTTCTGTAAAGAAGTAAAACACATGTTGTTTCAAGAATTTGTGCTACCACATGTTTTAAGGAAGCTTTTCCCTTCCTCGGCTGAATATTAAAAGAAAGAAGAATTTTCCATTTGGACGGGAGGAAAATAAGAAGAATAAAAAAAATAAAAAAAAGCTTGGTCTCCAAAGGAAAGTGAACTTTGTCTCCAATAGAAAAAAAAAAAGAACTTTTGAACTCTGAAAAAACAAAAAAAATATAGAGCAGAGGCTCTTTTTTGTTATCATTTGCACAGCAGGTGGGCGTAATTTTTTTATTATTGTGTGCATTGTAATTTTTAAAGTTTTATTTTTCTGGCATATTTTTTAAAATTTTGTTAGTCAGAGAATAGATTATCCTATTCTCAGCAAAAAGGACAAATTTTAACAAGCACCCTTATTTAGTTAGTAATAAAGTTGTTTTTTTTTTTTTTTTTCTTTCTTGTATATTTGAATTTGGAATCGCATTCTTTTTTTGTTATTATTTGGAGCAGTGATGAAAATACTATTGCAGCAGCTTTTATTTTCTGAAAGAGTGTGTTTGTGTTTTATCACATATCAGCACACATGACAAGATAGAATGAAAATAATTAATCTTAAAAAAAATGTAATCAATTTGCCTTCACATTTTGATACCATCCATAGGAAATCCCTGAAACTATTTGGATATATTAAGAGTTAGTGCAAGGTTAATTAAATTGTGCTTTGAGGGTACGGTGCCTGAAAAAAGAAGTAGAGGAAAGCCAAAACAGGTGAAAGGAGACTATAATTCTGTGGTCATCAACCAGTGAGTGGTAAACACTAAATAAGCATTTATAATAATATTAATAATAATAATAAATGGCAGGAAATAAAGTCAGATTAGTCTACTACAGGCAAAAATAGCAATTAATGATGATATATAATGTATTTTTGTGTGTGTATAACATGTTTTAGAAAGTGCACAGTGAAATTACAAAATGTTTCAATTACTAATTGTAACAATTAAAAAATAACCAGTTGTAGACTTTAATCAAATTCAGCTTGTCTCCTTTTAATTTCTTGAAAGAAATACAGGGCGTCCCTCCAAAACTGATATTCAAAATGTGAATATCTGAGTAACTATATGTTCCAGGCAAACAAAATTAAATAGGCTTCATGTTGAACAATAAACAATTTATTTATCAAAATTTGACAAGATATTTAAAGGGTTGTAGATTTTATAACTGATTTCACAAAGCTTCAGTATTCACACCCCCTGTGACATGACACACGTCAAGTCAGTAGTTTGGCTCCTGCCAAACATGCTGTAGCATGTTTTGTGTAACATTCTCCAGTGCCTCAGTGATTCTCTGCTTAAGTTTCTTTAGACTTGTAGGAAGAAGGGGATATAAACCTGTCCTTTCACATAGCCCCATAGAAAAAAATCACAATGTATTAAGTTACGGGAATGTGTTGACCCATTTCAACAGCACATTGTTATTATCACTGCCATGCCCAATCTTCTTGGTAGAGTCTCATTAAGTTCACAAGCATAATGACAGAAGACAAATTCCATGTGTAATTATAAGAAAACAATGTTTATAGAAAAATTGTTATGATTGGTAAATTTTTGGAGATTTTCATTAACCCATTGTATCTGGTCACATTAAGTTTTCATCTACTGTGTGTATGTGAAAGCTAAATCTAGATGTCAGCTTATAAGCTCCAAATCAACTGGTTGAAGAATTTGAACTTCTCTTTTCAGATTTAACTTCTTTTTTTTTTTTTTCTACTTTTGTCATTAATATTTATGGGAGGAAATGAGGTCACCTTATAGTTTACAGAACAGAAAATGTAATCTGCAAACAGTGTTTCAATTGCACCTGGAATAGTTTGTGTTCACTTCACATTAATACCCTCATTCCAACTACACAGTGTAAATAGTAAGGTAGTTGAAATTGTTTACTCCTATAAGGCATTCTATTTTAGTCGTTGGGCTAGCACCATGACTCTCATAAAAATTAATTTGTTACTGAAACTGTAATGGCATCACATAGTGTGGTTGGGACCAAATGTTTCACAAGTAGCCTGCAATACTAAATGAACATGTTGACGAAGAAAGTAACGTAATCACAAATTAAGAAAAAATGTAGCTGTTAATAGAAGAGGCAGCATTTTTTTTTTTTTTTTTTTTTTAAATGAACATTGGTTAATGATTTGTCTATATTTCTAAGATGACTATTTACATCGTACACTCCAGCCTTCTTCAAATGTTATATGTTGAAATTTCAAACCAAACCCTTTATTTAGTCCAGGTGGGTAGATTATTCTAATCCCACGTGCCATGCATTTTTGGATATCTTAGTTTCAGTTAATGTCTTTTAGTAGCATGACTCTCCAATGTTTTGGTCTCCTGCTGTAGCCAGGTGATTATATGGCAATAAAGATGAGGACAACAGTCCAAATGATATAGTGTAAATGTTTAATGATTGTTATTACCATTAAGTAACCAAGACATGGATTAAACGATGAAATATATATTATTGAAAAAAAGTGTACCAAATCCTTTCATTATTGAGAATCATGGCTATTTTGGAACTTTGTTGCTCTATGTTGAGATTACAAAAAGTTTTCCCCCCACCACCATTACATTGCTGTATTTTGTCACATTTTAACATTTTCCCAAAAAATGGAAAACTAAGAAATAATAATAATTATTATAAAGATGATTATTCCCTATAAACATATACAATTTGTGATATATAATATTTAAAAAAAAATTCTTCACAAAGATTTGCACGTTTTTACCTGCCTGTGTATACCACATTTTAATTAAGAAAGAAAACCAATTTTTACAAAAATATGCTAAGCAATATATTTATCTAGATTTAATTAAAATGACATTCATGGAAGACAAGAAATGTAAATATCTGTTTATTAATAGATGTGTAGAGTCATGTGTGTGTTGAATCTTGTAATTTTTTTTGTTTTTGCAGCCACCCACAATTGCATTTCACCTCAAGAAACAAATTACTGAAGTTCTGGAGCAGAAGAAAAGAATTCAGTGAGTTGATCTTCCTAAATTAATCCAATTTATTTCAATTATTGCCCTTTTTCTTTTACATTGGATACTGTAATTTTTGTTTTTTCTTTAATCATTTCACTCTCAAGCAAGGCAATAAAGCCACTAAGACACAAACAATTACTGAGTGTAAGAGATAATGAGAAAAAGAAAAACATTAAAGAGAGAGAGAGAGAGAGAGAGAGAACAATAAAAGAACAAGAATTAAAAAGACAGAATATAACAGTTGTTATTTCATTTAAATGTAAAAGAAAACTACTTGTTACTAGATCCTTATCTTCTGAAAATATTTTCTAAGTTAGTTGTTCTCAATTGGGTGGGAATTCTCTCCAAAGAAGGAATTTTAGTGTTTCAAAGGATAATGGAAGATTCAAACTATTGGAATATTGCCCTTTCTACAAAGTACAATTCTACATCCTAAAGGAGCAAATTGTCACAAATGCTCCAGGGATATGGCGTTGTGCTAGATTCATTTTAGCTGAAGTGTTGTCATTGATATTCAATTTAAAACCCCAACTGACCTTTACAGCAGATACTGGACAATGGGGACATAGACAACTTTTGTTGGTTCAGTCTGAAAATAAGATCAAGTTAGTTTGTATATTGGCTGTCATGCTAATAATACTTTGAAATTATGTTGTTGATATAATACAGCAATAAGTTTAAATATAATGAAGAAAATATAGTAATCATTATTTTTTATTATATATAATACATCAAATATACTGGGTGTAACAACAAACTGTGTAAAAGCAAAATTGTCCAGTTGTTAGATTAAGCTTTGAACCGTTGTATCTTAGAAATGATTAAAGATATCTTATTGGAATTCTCCAAGGTTTTTATAACACTATAGGACTCTACTTTGAGCAATAAGAATGTATAATTACTCTCCAAGCTTCACAGAAGAATCCTAATGAAATCGATCATAAACAAAAAAGACATGTTCATTGTTAATTAATCATAGCTAAGGATTGGAACTCGTGAAGGATTGAAATTAAGTTCAAATATATATTATTTCAGGATCATTTTCCAACTTATTCAAGATGATCTTCGCCCTCTCTAACCTTTCTGTCCTGGAGTAACAAGGTGCCTCACACATTTCACATATGATTTCATTTTCAAGTCTTTTTTCACTGCTCTTTGGACTGTCATAGCTGAAATTCCTCTCTCATGTGTCAAACGTCTTATTGAGTTGGATCTTTTCTAATTGATCTCTTTAGCTCTAAGTTGAAATGATCCCTCTTCCTGTTGTGACCTCCTGGTCCAGTTTTCCTCTCTACTGTTCCCTCTTTTTTTTAACCTTATTCACCATTCTCTTGATGCTTCTTGAATAGACTTTAAAGATGAAAGCCATAGTATGAATGTTGGTACCATTACTGAAGGCTTGAATGATCTTTTTCCTCTCACCATTGCTCATTTGGGAAGACAGTGGGGCTAACACAAAACAATTTTAACCTGATCTCTTTCTAGCTGAATAATTCAAAGGGTTTTTCAGTGATTCTTACATCTTATCTGAAAACCTGGAATAAAGGTGTTTTTTTTTGGGGGGGGGGTAGATCTTAAACATTTTGTGGGCAATTTTGCTGTTATACCTGGTATTTATTAAATCTATGTCTGTAACTTTTTGCTGTACTAGAGTTAGCTACCTTGTACTATCAATGACAGTTTTAAGATCTTTACAAAACTGGGAAGTGAAAAAATCACCTCCATAAAAAAGCAGATAATAATTGATAAAAATACATTTAAAGACTCAGATGTCATAATTTTTAATGGTGTCAGTGAACTAGTGTAGAAATAATTTAAGCTAGAATTTTTCAATGAATTTTCATTTATCACATCTTTGAGACTGCCTACCTTTGCATTTATAGTTTATTGATTTAATTATTAAGCTACATATCCTCAATTTCTCTTAAATTCATGTCACAAACATTTTGTTGTTCCAAGATTTTGACTTTGAATTTATCTTAGTTTGCAGAATGAATGGCCAATAACTTATCACAGTAACAAGGATGTTTTTTTTTTTCTTGATTTTAATTTTTTTTATCTTCTGAAGTGAAACAAATTTAGATTAATTCCAAATTCTGTTTGGAGAAATGAATTCCTTCTTTGTGTTCTTGATGTTCTCACAACATTTCAGCCAAGTCATTCTTCAGCCTTTCTCTAGTGTATAATCTGTAAGCAAAGATGACAACAATAATTTATTTCTTTAGAAGTATTTATTAATATATCAAGTGAATCAGTTCATTTTTAGATACACAAACAGTACTGCAATCACCATTGATATACCCAAGCAATTTCAATCTATACATGGGGAACTTCTTAAGCACCTTTTATTATGCAAAGAAAACAGCCCAGTGTTGAAATGTGTACAGACCTAACTTATACACTTGGCTGACAGTCTGATGTAAGTCAATTTAACTTTCTCACTCAGCAGTGATACTCCCTGTCAATTATCTAGATCTGTGTCCCTACTTTCTTTCTTGCCTAGATATGATCTACCATACCTGATTTCCCTAGCTACCCTTTTTATTATAGCTTTTATATGTTCCTCCAGTTTCACTTTAACAAAAAGGCTCATTTCCCTTTTAGATACTTTTGCATGGAATGTTATAAATACAAGAAAATACTCAAGTAAAACAGAAAAAAAAAAATGAAAGAGGACTTCAATTGTCTGGACAAAATTTAGAATTCTAATTATAGACAGTCTATAGAATTTAAAAAATTTCTGTTTTTATCACACTATTATGACTTTTATTTCTTTCTTTATTTTTTTAAACCATTAAGAGAGCAGAAGAAACAACTTGAAGATCGGCTGCAACAATTTGATAAAACATCACTAGGTGGCTACATCTTTAATCCACATGGACTTCCAAGACCTTCCAGTGATCTCTCAGAGGCCTTGGTTCACACTCCTGCAGTTAAGAGCACAATGAAACATTCAAAGGATGAATGTGAGGATGTTCCAGATGCCAAAATAATAAATTCTGGCTCAAATCTTGCATCCTTATCAAATTCTGACACTGAAATGGATTTGCATAATCAAATGCTGGATCAACAGAGTCCTAATTACCTGGCAAATGAGGCTCTTAAGCATTTACCAAAAGATATTGCCAAAGTACAGCAATACCAACAGAAAATAATCCAACAACATACTGAGCGGTTAAAACGCATTGAAGAAATACAAATGGACATTAAACAACATCGCAAAACTCTTAAAGACAGTATTTCTGGCATTAGTTTGGCTGAAACTTTATCAAAATCTGATCCAGCACCTACAATTATTACTGTACAACCACCAAACTTTGATTCATTGGAAAGTACAACAAAACATACACACAGTATAGCTAATGTTGAAAATGTCCTTGTATCTATGCAGAGCAATACTTTACCAACTGATTTCCATCCCAGTGTGTCTGAATCATTTTTGTCAGGAGTTGAGAACACAACCCTTCCAAATCAGAATCAATCCAAAGATCAAATTCTAGGTTCTGATTTGCATAGACCAGAGATACCATCTCGAAATGAAGCAGATTTTCTTTCTGCTTACCGCTCATGTATACAGGAATCCATTGCAGGAAACCTTTTTGAATCAGATGTTAGCATGGATTTTCAAAAAAGCAATACTAACAAAGAAAAAATTCCAGTTTCCACACTAGATATCAGTGCTCAGCATTTTCAACCTGAGAACCATTCAGTGAAACACAAACCTTCAGAACCAAATACACCTGACTTGGGTATTACCCCCAATATCTACAATCCATGTGCTTTCACTCCATCATTTGATTTGGATTCATTTCCTACTGAACCAATTCCTTCATCTGAGTTGCAGGAAATTAGAAAATCACTTCCTTTTGATGAAACACTAGAAGATTCTACCCAACCCACTCCTGTTCCCTCACAGACTGTTTCACCCTATAAAAAAACCTTTCCACCACACAATGATAGTGTCATATCAGAAACTAAGGATTCAGATGTCCCTAATGATGTGGTCCCTTTGCCACTGAACAATACAGAGAACCAGGAAGATTTTCTTAGAATTAAAAAGCAGCTAGAAGAAGTGAGAAAAGAGAAGGAGAAGCTATGTCAACGTCTACTGGACAAGCGGCTTGCAAAACAGGCCAAAGTACTTGAAAGCTGTGAACAGGAGGCTCTTTCTTCAGGATTGGACATTAGTGACCATGAACCTTTAGTCACTGAATTCTCAGAGCCTCCAAAGAAGCATCCACCACTTTTCCCTATGGCTTACTTGTATGGCCACTCTCCTCATGAACTCAGTGCAATCCAAGAAAAGGATAGCAGTATCTATTCACATCTATCTGATATTCATTCCAAGCTTTCTATGTCGTCATCAATTTGTGGTTCATCTGAATCAACACAGACCAATCTGGATCCTCTTATTTCCGGACAACTGCTTGAAGAAAAAAAACTTTGGAATATCCTCAAGATACTCAACAATGAAAATTTGGTAAGTCTTAACATTTTAATTTATTCTGTTTCAAGGTTTGTGTTTTGTGTACATTTACGTAACTGTTTTCTATTTAATTCTGGGGTTCTCATGTTGGAACCAATTTCAAGTGACTCCATATACACACTTCAATATACATTCCCCTATGGAGAAAGATATGTTGGCTGCTTCTCTTGTATTGCAATTTGGAAATTTGAAAAACTTAATAGAAAAATTGGATAGACAGAACTTGTTGATATTATTCAACCAAACATGTTTTAAAGTATTCTTGCTGCTGAAATAGACCTTATTTAAAATATGATATGACAATATATGGGTGCATCTCCAAAACTAGTGATGACCACAGATTGGCAGCTGATCTCTCATCCGATCTAGCTATAACATCTCAGTGTTGAACTGGCTGGTTACTTTCACTGCCTCAAAAACGAAACTAATTATATTCAATCATTGCCAATCAAACCTTGAACTACAACCAGTCATGATGAATGGATGTCACCTCAGGAAGGCCCCCTGCCTTGAGTGTCTATTGGCCCTTAAATTCATCCTAGACCTGAAGTGGAGCTCATACATATAATCCATTGATAAGGATGCATGGGAAAAATGGTTGGTTCCATGTACTGATCCAGTAAGTATATGACTCCTTGGGCTATCCTCTACCTTTACAAGAGTTAGATCAGGCCTAAAATTAAAAGAGTATTGTGGTCATATTTGTGAAGGAGCTGTTCAGTCTTCACTTTCCAGTCTCAATAGAGTACAAAAGCCTCTCTGCATCCTTGTGGGTGACAAATTATTTTCTATCCTGCAATCCCTCTCTCACAGACAGGATGTGGCAAGCCTCTATTATAACGGTGAGGGTGTGCTCACCCCTGCACTGCATGACAACACTGTCCTTTCCTCAGTCACTGGTGTGTTCACAATCGAATCCTGTGGCTAACAGTGAAGTTGGTCACTTCGATCCAAGCTTCTCCTTGTCTCACATTGTGTTTGTTTTGATCACAAGGCAGGCAAGGATCGAATCATTGCCACATATTGCTGGATTGGTGTAATTCATTAAGGATGATGTTATAAGACAAAGAAAAAAAAAAAGTTGTGTAAATCAACAAGTAACTGAGGTTAATACAGGAACATTTTTTGCATAAGAATCTACAAGCATGCAGGCTAATGACCACCTCCTCATAGTCTAATTTTATGACACTTTGTTCTTCGTTTCCAAGTCGGAGTTGAGGTTTCAAACTTTAAGTCGAAGACTTCTTCAGGCAGAAAATTACATAATACTGACAACATAATTATCTCCCTTTTTCTTTCTCTCTCTCTCTCGTTATATAGAGACTTTTTAATTTTTCTATGTCTCTGCTTCAACTGCTGCTCTCTCTGTCTGTCTTCTCTTCCCATTTCTCTGCATGGCTATTTATGAAGCCTAACCTCCAAAAATGGGTTGGAGTTGGCTTGTTCTGGGATGCTTTCGAATCTCCGTCACCCAGTCAAATCTCTCCATGGGTGCTGCTAGGCAGCCTTTGTATGTTCAAATAAGGGGAGCCAACCACATAGGTGGGGCGGTAGCAACACATCGATCCACCATCTTGTTCTCTCCACTTCTGTTGCTCACACCTCACACCAGTACCTTTCAGTGAGCGTATCCAGTTTCCTCCGACTTCCTCATATCAGCTCCTCATGCTACCGCCATCCAGGGAATAGGTGTTTCACTCAACACAAAACAGACGTTATTCTAATGTCACCATAAAATTATCTGCTCTCTTAGTCCTCAGCCAAGGTCAGCGTCCTTCCTCACACACCATCCATTGGTCCTAGCTAGCAAAACAAAATAATGAGACGTCACGTCCAATTAGTGCTGGGTGATTCAACTTACTGTGTCTCACTATCACTACTTCCATGGAAAGTGCTTGGACGGACTGCATTCCTTGGTTCCACCAGTTCTAACCTTCACAGCTAGGACCCTCCATGCCACACACATTGTAGCAAACCATTCTCATTCCCTCTGTATTCCATTAGTGAGAAGTAAGTTTCACTTGAGTAGCTTCATCCCATGAACCACTGCTCTGTGGAACCAACTCCAAAGAAGATGTTTTCTCAATCACTAAAATCTTAATCTGTTCAAATCTAGGGTTAATTGTTATCTTCCCCACCTATCTGCATAAAATCTGCTTCTTACTCTGTAACTTTCTGCTTTAAGTGACCCTCAGGCCTTGTATAGGGTAGACCTCACTGTAAAAAAAAATAATAAATATATATATATATATATATATATATATATATATCACCTATTAAGCAAGTAGCATGGATTTAGAGATTAAGTAGTATGTGATAAGATTTATATGCATTCTTAGTAATTTGTCTAACATAGGCAGTAACCTTATCAATTAACCCATTGAAGCCATTTATTAGATCACCTTCAAATTTAGTCAAATACCACAGTTCCCAAGGTTATTGGATGTAAATTCAAATCTCATTGGAACTTAATTCCGTATTTCTGATCCTTGCTGTTAGCTTAATATTTGTAGGATACCAAAACTTGAACATTGTAATAAAAAATTGACTAAGATGATCATAGAAACTAGTAAAAAATGTATAATGAGACACTATTTTTAGAAAATTACAGATATGAGTCTTAATACAACCCATGAACTTTGTATAAATAAAACCTATTCACTGAAATTAATAGCACAAAATACACTAAAGTGATAAGTAAATAATACTTTCCTACAAGTATATTACTATTCTAACAACTAAAATTATTAAATAATGCAACTCACCAGATGCTTGTACATAGAAAAAAATTATGTTTTTCACTTATTGTCAAGATTTTGAGGCATATAACTCTAATGTGAAGTGAAACTTACTCTTACTATAAATTACATTAAAGTGTTTGATAGATGGGATCCTATACAAAAGGAAGCCTACTAAACAAAAAATATATTAAATGAGCTGACAAAGAGAAATGGGTTTACTTATTTACTTGGAACACATGTTACCCAAGAAAAAAGTGATTTATGCATGTAGTCAAATGTCATTAATATATTTTCTTACAATCTTATAACTTGTGGAGGAAATGAGAGCAGATGTTGAAAGAAAAAAAAATGATTTGAACAGCAGTAAGCAGATTTATTGAATAAAAGTTTAAAAAAGATGGCAAAAGTTAAGATGTGAGGAATATTTATCAATTGAATATTTGTTGAAGTGATTGAATGTTACAGAAAGTCTTCAAGATGAACATTGAAGTTGGGCTCCTATTCATATAAAATCATTAGTCACAAGTAGAAAAAGCAGAACAGGAACATGTGTGTATACATGTTTTGTATATGTATATAAAACAAAAACAGATCAACAATAAAGAATGCTTTCTTTCAAATGTTTGTATCTCAGAAAAAGGTAGACAAAATATTTAAACTAATGTGAAAATTGGTAATAACCAACCAATACTGATGAAATTTTCAGTCTATACTTGTATAATAAATGTATCATATGATTTTCAGCTTATAATATTGTTTTTTATTAGGAGTATTTACAATAAGTAAGAGATCTTATTGTGCAACTTGAGGATTGTTCATATAAATATATGTACTATAGTTATTGATATGGTTTTAATTTCAGATATATAAATACTCTCATGGGTTGTAAGAGAGACATAATCTCAAAAGTGAAAGAAAATGTTTTGAAGTTATTGAGTGATGGGAAAAGAACATTAGAAATCTCAAAAAAGGTTGAAAAAAGTGATTGAAAAACAAATTTATAAAAATTGGCAAGATAACAAGAAAAGTTAATTAACTATCAAGGAAATAGTTGAAAAGGTTTGGGTTGTGAATTTAAAAAGATTGAAAATGTGTAGAATATTAAGATTGGCTAAAGAGATGAAAGCAACTAAACTATTATCTTATTAGTCAACATCTATTATCTATTATCAACATCACTAATAGGACTGATAATTTGGGTAAAGAATTACATGAAAACTGATTTCTTTACAGTAACTTTTAGTAATGGCCGTTAGATGGACCTGATAGCTGGGTTAGACATGACATTATTCCACCTTCTAATAACAGTAGGGAGGTGAAGTTATTTGGGGGCTAGTATTGTTGACAGCAAAGTTATAGTTCTCTTCAGATTTGGTGATGGTTCCCAGGTAAATGCAGAGAATGATTGTAACTTCATAAGATGTTTTTTTTTGAGTTGTCCATGTTTTTACCAAGAGCCTTTAAAACAAAAAAAGTATATCTATACAAGACAATTCTCCTTCACATTCAATGACTTGTCCACCTTACAAAAGAAAATGAAATGGCTTATTCATATCTTTATCCAATAAAAGAAATTGTGGTCCCTAATTATGAGAGATAAATAAGCAAATGCAAAATAATATTGAAGCAAAGAGGATCTCTAGGAAGCAATAAAACTGCTACATGTAAATTGATGTATGAAAGACTGATGAAAGGTAGAGAATTTCAATAAGCCTAAATTAATGGAAAATAACAATAATTTATTCAGGTATATGGAATATTGTGTTAATCAATAGGTTTTGGTGGCCTATCTTTTGGGTATAACAAACCAACCAGCAGTTGTATTCTTATACACTTGCATGTCTTAGTCTACCAACTGGTATGTCTACTTATATTTATATCTTGATCAGCCTATGAACCTTTCAGCCAACTCTTGTATATGAAATAATTAGGATAGTGGAAGAGGTTAAAAGTATTTTTGATAAATTTTTCTTCATGTATTGAGGGCTGCAATTTCTAAGTGCTCTTAAGTTCAAACCTATAATTATTTTGGATTTTATTTTGTTTTAGTTTGAGTAGAATTTAATGAAATCAATTTTGTTAGTGGATTTCCAGTAGACATTTAACATTATATCAAAAAATGACTATGTATTGTTTGTTTCTTTGCTTATAAGTAAATTCAGTTGTATGTTTAGATCAGGTAGTATTTTTTTTTTGCAGGGATATATTAATTAAGCATCTCTGATATATTAGAATTATGTTGATACTATGGGAAAATATTTTGAAAAAAAGAAAAGACATGCTAATGCACTGTGTAAGAGGTGATTCCATTGCTAAACCTAACTTTCTCTCTCATATATAATAATTATATATTTATTCCTCACTGCTCTATTATTTTCAAAATTTTCCAACTCTGTACTTGCAAAAATTGCTTCTGTCCTCTTGTCTTGAAATAACCTTATGAGATTTATATTATCAAAGTGAGAGAAATAAATTCTGTTATGTGAACCTCCATCTTGAATATTGTTTTATTTGAATTGTTTGATCTGTTTTATAATTACCATGCAGGAATTTGAATTTTATCTAATTCTCTTTTCCCAGGATAGTAGCAATGATATAAGCCAGAATGGAAGTAAAGCAGCAAGTAGTTCCTTTGCAACTTCTAGTCCACTTTTGTCAGGTCAGTTCATACCTTCAACACTTTTTACTATACTCTATTACAGCATTTCTCAGACATTTTTTTCCTTCAGAGCACTTGTAGAATAACAAAAACTCTGGAATGCATTTTAAATTTTAATAAGGAAAAATTACACGAAATTTGAAAATAATAAAGAAGTCTCTTGAAATAAGCATTTATCTTTAAGGCATTACATTGTATATTTAAGCAGTACAGTTTTCATTCAAAGTGATTTATGAATAATCTATTTATTTTTTTTTAGAGACCAGTAGTGACTGATTTAAATCTCTTGAGGATTATCAACTCCTTAAAGATGAAGGAATTTAGCATGTAGTTTAAAATATCAAATAACAAAGACAAGATTTGAGTTTGTTTTTTTTTAATATAAAACTAATTCATAAATTAGGCTTCTGTTAACTTGAGGTGTACATGGCTACCTTTCAGGGTGCATTAGTGCACCCACATGCATCAATTGAGAAATACTGCTCTATTACAATACTTTGTTAAACTCTATTTCTTCATTATTTCATCTTTCATGATTGTACAATTTTATTTAATTAAAAGCAATTTTGTTCAACACAATGGATAATAGAATAGAAAACCTAAGATTTAACTTCATCATACCAGGAAATAGCAAGTAAACCAGGAATATGATGTCATTTACTATTTAGATTAAAATCCTTTAATCCACAGAACAATAACCAAGAGAATCAAAATGTTCTTCTATGAATTTGGTGAGCTGGTAATTGTAAGTTCACTCCCTAGGCTAAGTAGTATATACTCAGTAGAAACAAAACTAGCAATAAATGAACAGTACTAAACAGAACATATTCAGTCTACCACTGTAGATGAAATAGAGAGTTCAGTTCAAAATTCCCTAAAGGCTACACAGCAAACACCTGAAGAAGGCTAAAGGGCATAACAACCAAGATGTGATAGTAAACAAAGACTGGGACATTAGTCCAACTGTAAATAATGTAAATTTAGATGACTGATTTTTACCTAGGTTTCTTAATTCTTCTTTTGCAGAAGTAAAAGATTTTGACACTAGTGTCCAGCCACCCACAGCCTTTACAGCATCAAGAGGAAATCTGAGTTCCGAGTTACAAGAGTCAAATAACGATAAAGTACCTCAGCCTAAAAGCTCAAAAACTTGGGCACAAATTCTCTTGGAGAAGTCACAACTGAGATCAGACTCGGACACTGAGACAAGTCCAAACATTCTCCAAGTTTCAAATGGTACTTACAATTCCCAGATGCCATTGCCAGCATCTGCTGAGAGTGATTCCACAGTCCTGAGAAACTTTTTTTTTGATACTACAGGAACACAATTCATTAACCCAAAAGCTATCTCTCAGGATGATCAAAAGGCAGTTTTGGCATTGTCTTCAAGTCTCAGGTCACTTCATTGTGAACCAAAGTCTTCTGAAACAAGTTCAGATGAATCACAACAAATTCCTTGTACTCATACCAGAAATTTTAGTTCTCCTTCTATGCAAGCTCAAGACAGTTCTGAGGGTTCATCTTTGGCAAATTCCGAATTTCCATCTATGAATTCTCTTACTAAAGACCTTCTGCAGAATCACAATGATTTGTCTGAATTTCTATCTCGCATCCTACAAACATCTCAAAAATTTAATTCTCAGACATTACAACAGTTTCCGCAAGCCTGGCCTTTGGATACCACTGTCCAAACTCTGCCAAATTCCACTGGAATTTCACCATCATCCCCTTTTACTAGTACAGTCAATCTTTCTCCAATTTGTCACAACCAAAGAGATTTTGCTTTAGCCTCATATCCAAGTACAGTTAGCAATACAGTTATGAGTGCTCATGGTGGAGAATCTTCACTTTTTCAACTCACTAATACCTCAAATCAATCAGTAATGGGAAATGGACCCACCCTCAGTGGTTGGTCCCCGAGCACTGTTGATAATATTGCAAATGCCACTTCAACTGTTGATGCAGACTCAAAGACAAATTCCTCTGATACTTCTTTGATTTCAGTAATTGCACAAACATCAACTGTGAATAATCAAGTAATGGCATCCTCTTCAACAGTAGATGTTGGTAAACCACTGAAACAGTCATCATCTCCAAATCAAATAGCACTCATTTCACCATTGCCCACTCCACCTTCTAATATTACAAAAATGAATAGTTTAAATTCTGATGGGGTTTCTGAAACAAGATTTTCTTCTCTGTGTTATCCTCCAAAAGAAGCTATGTCTTACAAGTCTGCTGCTCCTTCAGTCTCTCGAGAGCAAATCAGAGATGAAGTCATGCAATCAACATCCTCCAATGAACCATATATCTTACCCTCCTCAACTCCTAGTCAATTGCTGAAATCACATATACCTTCTCTGACTCATCTGTCCAACCCTTCTGAGTTGTCTCACTCTCCTTGTTTTTCCCCAATCAGTCATAACACTGAAAATCCAGATCATTTAATTTCAGCTGAAGGGATTTCTCCAAAGCCACAAACAACTTCAACATCATCTCTATTAACTCAGTATTCAATTCATACCTCTCCAGAGTCTAATAACAATGTAGACTTTAGCCCTTCATCAAACAGCCAAATAAAGAAAATGCCAACTTCAAGTCCTGGGTATTCCCTATCAAGTTACTATTCTGTGTCTGTTTCTGAGAAAACAGCTCCATCCTTTACTATGAAAGCTATGGCTGGAGTGGAATTATCTCAAGTAACAGAAAGCTTGCTTCCTTCTGTAGCTACAATGATTGCTGCTTTGTCGTCATCATCATCATCATTATCATCATCTTCTTCAGTTAATAGTGGGCCCACAACACAGTTTCAATACCAACATACAGATCAGAACCAAATTAAAACAAAAGAATCTCCAAATAGTCCAGGCACCCCATCTCCACCATCTTCATCCTGTCAGATGCAGTGCACAATCCAAACCCAAAAATTCCTCTCCCTGAAAGTATCCAGTCAGATGTCATCATCTCTTCCATCAGCCAGTCCACTCGATGGCAAAGACACAATCAAACTGGATCACTCTATGATCCCTGAACCTTTGCCACAAAAGTCTGCACTGATATTGCCTGTAATCCATGATCAATCCCAAAGCAACAAATCTAGTCCAGTTTCTTCTGAAAATCTCTCCTTAACTCAATACTCTTACACCTCTCCAGAGATTTGCAATGAGGAAACTCTACCTGCACCTAGTCAGATTAAACCTTTAATCCTATCAAATCCCCCATGCTACCAGTTACTTCAAAAACCTGCTACCAATGTCCAAGAGGAGAAATTAAGTAATTCTGTTGTACAAGCTGATACTTACTGGCAAAATTTAGAACCCCTTGGAACTAATCATGGCATATGGATGTCTCGGACTCAAGATGTCTCCACAAACCAAAATTCTTCAGAAAGTGATACTTTCAAATATGCTAAGTCTATGACGGGATCTTGTTCTAGTCATTCAGGAATGCAAAGCTCTCCTGAAATGGAACTTCAAACAAAAGAGAAATCCTCAACTGACGATTCTTCCAAAGATGGATCACCTTCTTTTGTCCCTCTGTTGTACAATAAAAGTCAATCATCTGATTCTTCTGATACAACCCCAGAAAAAGTTTTACCTGTTCACAAACCATTTCAAACAGCTTTAGATGATGCAGATAGACCAGTGATATCTGCTGCAGAAATAAACAGCCTAATGGCTGGAGTATCAAGCCCGCCTGAACTCACTGATAGCCATTGTTCAAGTAAAATGGTTTCATCAGCTGACCTGAGTGGACTGAGTGGATTGAGCCAGCTCTCATTACCCTCAGACATGATGGAGGACTATCAACACTTGATACAACAAGCTCGGACTCTTGTAAAACGTTGTAAAGCTAACCTGCAACAAGAGAACAAGGATAAGGCTTCGGGGGATTCAGGCCTGCAGAGTGGCATACCTTTAACATCTGCCCACGCTCTTTTTTGGGAAGCTGACCCTTCAGCTAAAGAACAAGATTTGTCACTATCAGAAGAGAAAAAATGTGGAGGAACTACAAGCAGAAGCACAACTGAGATAATAGAGCCTGATCAGGTAAGTAATCTCATTTATTTATTTATATATATATATATATATATATATATATAAAATTATTTTATTATAATTCTGCTTGTTCTATAGTGAGTACGTACACTTTACCCCGTAGTACCTTATAAATAATGGACTATTCTGTTTTGATCACAAGGAAGAACAGAAAAGACATATATCAGATGCTGTTTGGTTTCAGTAAGAAAAAGAAAGAAAATAGTGGAGGCAATAATATTCACATGTGTTTAAAATCTGCTTTAGTGAAATGAAAAATCTTGTCAATTTTAAATCTTTTCACTTTGTACCCTCTTACTTCTTATAAATAATCACCTGTATTCATACTTACAGTTGTTATTGAAATGTTTTGTAAAAGTTAAGCTCAAATCAGTAAGGGAATTTCTGTGGGTATTTTAGAGTTAAACTTACAAGGTGCTTTTTCAAACATTAAATTAAGAATTAAGGTTCATCAGAAAATTAAAATAGCAAAATGGTAAAATTTTCATGGGTAATACCAGTATATTTTAATAGTATATATTTTTCCTGAAGAATTCCTTTTGAGGAATGAAACATTAGAGTTTGTGTTTTTTTTTTTCCCCCTCCCATTTTGTTATTCAATTACCCATTATTAGTCCGATATATAGATTTGTATATCATGTATGTATGTGTGTGTCTACACAGCAGCAGCAAGCAGAAGAAATCAATTTGCTTAATTTTTATTTAGAATATCTGTCTATATTTCTGAGACAAGGTATTGTAATTATTTATACTATTTACATTGTTCGGACTGTTATCCTCATCTTTGTTGCCATAGTCACAACATTTCGGCTGTTGTATGCTTCAGCCTTCTTCAGGTAATTGGAATTTTGAACTGAACCCTTTATTTCATCCACCATGGTAGGACCCTTATTTCATCCATCCAGAAGAGGCAAGGCATGTGGAACTATAACAATCTACCCCGGTGGACAAAATAAAGGGTTCGGTTTCAAAATTCCAATCACCTGAAGAAGGCCAGAGCATACAACAGCCGAAACGTGAATATGGCAACAAAGATGAGGACAACAGTCCAAACAATGTAAGTAGTTTAAATTTTTATTTAGAAGTTTTAAGTATCCAACCAGGTGCTTTTAGGCATAGTATATGTAGTCATTCCAGATTGTAATGCAAATTGTTGCATTCACATTGGCCCCAATATGAAGAGATACAAACCTTAATACACTCTGATACTGAAAATAAGTCATGCAGAAGTTATGAGCCACAAGAGGAAACATAACTGTTTTTATTAATGGAAGAAAAACTAAAATTGCACAAAATAAATTTATATATTTAAAGACATTAATAATTGTAATCAGAAATTTTGCATGGCTCCTATTGGCATAAACTACAGCCTCAACTCAATGTGGGATGAAGAAATATAACTTAAATTGTTTCATCAGGAATGTTTGTCATTTCTTTTGACAGTAAACCCAAAGCTCTTGTGAATTCATTGGCTTTCTGTTATACACCCACATTTTCAGCCCTTTCCTTATAGGTCTGATTACATTATGGTCAAATCTTTGTTAAAGCTAATCTTGTAATACTGCAATGTCTTCATCAGGAAATTATACTATTTATTCAAAATTTCTGGAAATTTTTTTTGTACATTTAATATTTTGATTCTCTTCTGGGTAAGGGGATAAAATAATTACTTTTTCATATTAATATTATTAGAACAACTTTTCTAAAAAGAGAAAAAAAAAATTAACATTTACAATGGAACTGTTGATTTCTCTATATTCATTTTTTTTCATTAAAATAAAAATAGCTACTGCTTCATTGTTTTCTTGTAAATCATGACTAACAATATTTATGATACAAAAAAAAATATGTATTTGATATCAGTTATTTATTTCTTAATATGTAAAATTAATTGGAGTCAAGTGCATTTTAGTTTGTTTTTTTTAATTTGAATATGTTTTTTATATATTATTTTCATGTTTTTTTTTTTTGTTTTGTTTTGTTTTTTACTGTAGATTTGTAACCTCAACCAGTTAGCAATTTCAATTAATCAAGATCTGAATTTGATAAATACTGATAATGACTCCCCAACTATTGAAAAGGAAGGCCAAGCAGATAAAGTTCCATGGGTAGATGCTGGTAAGATGAAATATTTCAGAACTTGGTTCAAATTTTTTTTGTTAATGTGTGTGATAGAACCAAAATTTTGAGGGTGAAAACCAGCATTTGGAGGTCCCAGCTCTTTGTAATTGTCATTTTGCTTTTTGTCTGAATCATATATATATATATATATATATATATACTGATTATATGCAGCCCTTCAAGTGAAATGTCTATAGACTGTGTTTTGGGACCATGTGTTAGATGAGGCGGGGTGTTTGTATAAATCTGAATACACTTTTATTGATTTTTTTTTTTTTTTTTTCTCATATCCCTAAAGAGGGTAGGGGAGAGAGAAAAAAAAAAAAAAAAGGTTTGCAAGGTTTTAACCCAACTTTCGCACAATTTTTTTTTTCTTTTTCAGTAATTTAGTTTTTTATTTTTAAAAGTGGGACAGATTTTGTAACAAAATTTTTCCTTTGTATCTGCCTCCCATTAGGGTGAGGAGGATGTTTATTGAAATTTTAAGAATTAAACATGAATCTTTTCTCTCTCTCAGCATGGATTGATGATTACTTCACTGAAAATAAGGAGGCATTAAGAGTAAGATCTCAGAAACCGGACACTACCAGCCAATCCAGAATGAGACCTGACCAGACAATATCCAATTCTGTAGCATCATGGAAGCTTAAATACACTCTCGGTGCTCAAACAAAAAAAAAATTCAAATAATGTTAGTACATGGATATTTATTAAAAAAAAAAAAAAAAAATCATCATTATATTTAGACATTTTGCTCCAGTAAGTATTCTTTATAATTTGAGAAAGTTTTTAAAAATAAGATGATCAAGCTTAATGTAAATATTTTACTTCCTTTTTCAATGAAAACTAAATCCTTTGGAAGATTTCTATCAGTTCAAAGTAGGATAGATTTTCAAATTAAACTTTGTCAGTATGCATACATGCATATTCATTTTAAAACAAAGTTTAAAATTGCTAATATTCACAAAGTTAATGTACTGCTTGTCATCATTTACCAGCATAGTCATTCATGAGTTGGAACAACTTTAAAACAATATGTGAATATTTTAAGGAAATTCAATATTGTTTGAAAATATGAATTCCTTTTAAAATTGTATTACAAGTAGACATTCATGTACATAGCAATTTCTAGAAATTGTAATGATTTTCTGAACAAAAATTATTGAATTTTTTTTTTTTTAATAGCCAACTCGTTTAATTCATTTCAAAGATAAAACATCTTGCTGGCTTTTGCCCCAAGTCTAATATCTTCAAAATTATTTTTGAATATAAGTATGTAAATAAAATTTTTAAATAGGGAAATGGGAATTTTTCCTTTTTTCCCCCCTATATCTTGTGCATTTAAATACAAATTTTAAATATGTAAATACTAAGATCTTTGAATTAGCATTATAAGCTTTAAAAAAGTCCCTTTTTTTTTTTGCTGTGATAAGCTAGGAAGAAAGTTTTGGAAATGTGAAGAACCTGTTTATTATTGCTTTTTATAAACCTGTAAAAACTGAACACATTTTTTTTTTTTAAATAAAGAGAAGATTTAAAAACAAAACAACATATTTATTTAATAAAAAGCATTTATCATCATGGATGTTTTCTTTTCACCTTTAAATGGTACAGTTATTTTTTACATAACAAGTATGTGAGAAAAACACATAACTTTTTTCTTTTTTTCAGAAGTCTGGTAGAGATAGCCTTTTATCTCTTGAATAGTCCAAAGAAAGCAAATGTATTTTGCAGGCTACAAAATGCAGTTTCTCTTTTGCCTACGTATATATATATATATATATATATATATGTTAGAAAATAAAGATTTGATGCAGAGAGGAAGGAAGCATTTAATTAAATTCCACTCAGTTTGATGTTACATAGTAACTAGTTTTCAAAATTCAAGGCTTACCAAATAAATAGCTTTATAGCTTTTTTACCTTCTTTTTCTCACTCTCCGTTCCAAATTACCAGACTTTTTATTTTTATATATAAAACCAACAGTCACTTTGTTACATAAAACAAATGAATTTTCTTCCTTAGAAGAAACTTACCAACTCCACCACAAAATAGCAATGTTTATAGCATATGACATCATATGTGCATCATATTTAAGATAACATTACATATTAGAATTACTTTGTAATTATATCTATTTAAGTAGCTATGCTAGTTTGATCAGAGTGGACAGTATTTTAATTTAGAATTCCAAGGGCCTTTCAGGAGTGGAAGAGAAATCTCAGAAGCAACACATTAAGTCATAGGGACAACTTGAAAGTCAGAGTTTGGAGGTGGAGTTGTCTCTCACAGTAGTAATATAAGTGATTGTTAATAATGTCCTTTGGAAGAAATTCCCTTCTGTACTTTTCAATATGTGGTTATTCAAGTATACACAACTTCCTACTGTTCTTAAATGCCAAAATTTACACTGCAAACAGCTTTCAGTTACAACAAAAAATATCTTTCTGGTTTATAAATGTAGATTATTCAACCTTGTTGGCTAAAAACGATCATAACAGTTTCTAGAAACCAATTAGCAAAGAAACTATTTTTTTTTAATAGGAAAATTCAAGCTTCAGTGAAATAGTGCTGAGCAAAAATTTATTATTACAATATGTTCAATGCAGTTTTGAGAGTGGATAAGCAGTGCTTTTAGTGCTACCCCAGACTTATAAACTGGAAACAAATGAGGTTATTATTCTTAAAAGAAACCATTTTGTATAACTCATTACTGTTTTGTGCTATGGATATTATAGGCAGGTCTTTCTCTAGCATTTTAGGTTTTGTATTTAAAAATCTATGATGTACATGAAAGTTAATAAATATATTTTGCAAAGAAAAATTATAGATATCTTTATAGAAAGAAAGGTAAAAGGAAAAAAAAATGTTGAACTCTGTATATGATTTACACAAATCTTGGAATAGGAAGCCTTACTCCACAAGATAATGGTCAAAAACAGCTGTTCCCTATTTTAATATTTCTGTCCATTCTTAACAAAATACAAGTTTGATTTTATTTTTGTTACATTTATAGTGTAGAATATGCAGATCCCCTACTTCATGAGAATATCAAAACAATTTAACATGATTAATTAGTTTATATGATGTATATTAAATTTGAGATGGGCTTTCAAATATAGCTATAATCCCACTGAAATAGCTAAACTATGAAATACAAAAAAAACTTTATAAAAAGGTTTAACTTATAATAATCATGTAACTATTTTTTTTGTTTCTTGCAGTATGTACAAATTGTCACACACAAAAAAATAGACATAGGAATCAATTTTGACTCATCATTCAAATACTAAAATGAACAATGAACTTCTAAACATGTTGAAATTGCAAATGCATGTGTATGAAGGCATCAACATTTCAGAATGAATTAGATGCATTCAAGAATTGAATCTTGCGTTTTGATGCAAACTTATCCTCAAAGTACTTATAACACGTGATGTTTGAAATCAGTTAATCATGCATCAGATTCTGAATTTACTATTCCTGCTTAGATTCATTCATTAGAGGTTATTAATAAGAGGAAAAGAAAGTCCCCCTCCCTCTCACACAAAAAAAGCATACTAAGTTCTCAAAAAATCCTTTTGAGGAAGTGGGCCAGGCTCAGAACTTTTCAGTAACCCCTTGTGTACATGCATGTGTGTAATTTGCATTACTTTTTGAAAAATCAGTTATCTAATGTTTGGTTATCAAAATAATGATTTTAGGAAGTGGAGCAGGCCAAGGCCTTTTCAGTATCTTCGTGTGTGCACAAACATTACATATCCACAAATGTTTATGTATTTCAAATGTGTTTAGGTTGATAATTATTAGTGCAGTTTTATTAATTTGTGAAGATTTTACTTTGTCAATACATTGTTTTTTAATAACAAATTGAAAAGATTCTCTTTTGAATTTCATTTTTTAAATGAAACTAAGGACTTTTCTTTCTTTTGATAATTTCTAAAAGTTATAGCATATATTCACAAAATTAACAATTCTTTAGCCAATTTTTTGATAAATGTTAGAATACAAGTTGTGCAAGAAAAAAAATGGTTTCAACAAAGATAATCAGTTGTGAACTGACTTTAACACAAAGATAAAAATGAATAAAAACTAAAAGAGAATACTAAAATAGATTAATTTACATTCCACTTAGAAATATGTTTGAGAGTATGTATTAGTTTATTTGTATGTAGTTATGCTACATAGAGGTAGAACATAGGCTATTGTTTTTGGTCACATTAATTTTGTGTGTTAGCAACATTAGATAAAAACAGCTGCACCAAATAATGAAATTTGAAATATAAATAGTATACAAAAGTCTCAAAATAGCTACATTATATTTTTTTTTAAATTGCTTCAAACTTTGCTTGACAAAACAAGATTTATGGACACTTACCTCACCACCAAACAAAAAAAAATTGTTCAAGTTACAATTATATTGGCTCAGAATCCTTGAAAAAGAGGTTAAAAAAAAAAAAAAAAATCAACAAATTCAAAGCTTTAGTGCCAAGGCAATTCATCAAATATTTTTTTGCTTTCAGAAAGGTTTCACAAAGACATTTACTATAACTGTTCAAGTCATATAGTCAAATCCTTTATTTAATACTTTGATAAAGGGAACAATGTGGGACTGGAATAATCCTCCTAATCCTAAGATTGTTAAATTCTACTTTGATTTAGCCAAATAAAATGGAGAACAATAATTACTTGACATAATCTAGTGTTCATGTTTATAGGTTAATCTTTGGTCAGATCTCAAATGTGAATAAATTTGAACACTACATAAATGCAATATTGTAGACTTGTTCTGTTTATGTTGGAATAAAGTTCACATGCTAATTACTTAAGAAATGAGAAAGAAGATTAGCAAAAAAGTACAATTGGAAGAAATTTCCTCAGTATCTATGCAATATAACTAAATGTTAATATATCTAATATTTGCTTTTATGATAGACTGCAGGTGCAAACAGTCATATGGAAAAGGATGCAAAAATCCAAACTCATCTAAAGTTAAATGTTTATTTACTGACTGAAGGAACCTATGATATGAGATTAAAAAATGTTTTTTCAAGACAATAAAAATACTTTGTTTTATTTTGTGTAAAAGCAAGTAGAAACTACTTTATATTTTGCTTACAGTTTTGAAATAAGAACTGACATTTACTTTATGGTGAACAAAAAGTTTAGACAATATACTTTCTACTTCAGTGAAGAAAATAAAACATCTTACAATTTCAGTTTTTATACAGCACTCTAAGCTAAAAATGTTTATCCTTCATTTTTTTTTTTTCTATATAAAATTTGGATTAAACAGAGTGATTTTAAAAATAACATTTTTAATATTTTCTTGAGTGGCATAATTGTGGCTTTATCTAAAAGCTAAGTGACATTAAGTAAATAACTCTTCCTAAAGCCATAAAATGTTAAGTCATATTTGCTATCAATACTAAGTTAATGACACTAGATAAAGTACAATAAGTAAAACAATGATGTCTCATCATGAGGAAGTGCTAAAGAAGGCCTTAGTCCAGCCAAGAAATCCTTATGAAAAAAAAAAAAAAGATTCTAATGTTTGGAGGTAGGTAAAGCCAAAAACTTTTCAGTAAAAAATTTCAGCATTTCCTTGCACAAATGAAATATTAGGGTTGCATGAGAAAATAGAACATTTCATTTTTTTTCTTCTTTTACCTCTAGAATAAACATGCCAGATTATTTGGTGTACACATATCCCTATCACAATTAAATCAATATTAAGAGTAGCAGTATTATCAATAGAAACAACACTGACATCCCCGAGTTATCCCTATTACCATGACATTGCAAAACCTTTTTTGTGGGCTGAGTGAAAGCAAAATAAAATTTTTTTTCAATAGTAATAGAATCTGGGAAGTGTTTAAAGCAGTCATTGTGTTGGCGGGATGACAGTAGTAACAAGTTTACAGAAATATAATCAATAAGATATTTAAAAATCCAATTATATATATATATATATATATATATATATATATATATATATATATATAAATTATTTAATGAAAAATATTAATTTATAAATAAACAATAATTAAGAGCACAAAAAAAGAATAAAAAAAAATTATCTTCACATTTTGTTCTTAAATGCTTACTCATTACAAAATGTTTAAATTTTAATAAAGGTCATAATTTTTATAACAATCATACCAAGGCAATACCAAGTTAGAAGCTTTGCAATCACAACACTTGTGTCTCCAACTGGAGGTGACTTACTCGAGTCAGTGAGTTTAAATAGTTATCTATTTTTAAAAGAAATTTTAATCTTGAAAATTTTATTAACTTTCATAGTTTTCATTATTACACTTAGATTGATTGTCTCAAGTTTACTATAGAAGATACTGAAATAAATATATTTACTTACTTTTTTTGACTTGGAAAAACCATGAAAGTTAAGTAACTCACAAAAAATGTCCAACTGGTTTGGTTAATCTTTGTTCTTGATAACAAAATAGATTTTGATGATAGAATTTTATTTTTCATGAATGATTTATGTTTTTGCTTTTCAGTAGTGTCGGAGACTTTCTAATATGTAATTTATGGATGTCCAATACTTAAGATGATACATATAATAGTTTCATTGATTTTTGTCGATGTTTTTTTTTTTTTTATCATTTCACCTCAAGCAAAGCAAAAATGCTACTAGTGCACAGGAGATTACAGAGAGTAAAGGTGAGAGAAAAGACTGAGGAAAGGATAAAAGCTGAATGGGGTTCAAGATGATAAAACATGGTGATTGATGCTGTATTTAAATTTCTGAAGATTGTAGTTAGCAAGGAAACAGAAGTGAGTTCCACAGGTGGGAAGTGCAAGAAAAGAAACTGAGTAAAAGTAGCAGTTATATTTACTTAATTCGACAGTAAAAGGGTGGGACCTAGATGCCAATCTAGTAGCACGCTTAAACACATAGTCTGGACACCAGGGAAAAAAGCCCATTAGAGCAGTAGCCATGAAAATATTTGTAAAATAGACAGAGGGAAGCCACATCAGTGAGAAAGTGACTGAAGTCGAGATGCCAGGTCAGGATCGATTACATTGCAGATCCTTCTTTGGATTTTGTCAAGAACCTTGAGATGAGTAGTAGGAGCACCTGACTGGCAACAGTATTTAATGCATGGATGATAGTTTTGTAAATCTGCAAGATGGACTCTGATGAGAAAAACCTTCTGGCACAACATAGTGACCAAACTTTATTGCAGTAGATGCAGCTATTGATTCAATGTAGTTGTTTCAGTTCAAGTCAGTTGAAAATGTGAGGTCAAGAAGGCGCATTGTGTTGCTCTTCATAAGTCTAGCATGCTGATAATTGGTAGGAAAGTTTCTCTATCGTTTTGGAGGCATTAAAATTTATGAGCCATTTCCTGCCGCAGTTAACTTTTTCAAGAACAGCAACCAGGTTAACTTTGTCAAATCTGACGGATTTGTTATTGAGACAGGATTAAATGGTAGTGTCATCAGCATAAGTGCCTACTTGGGAAATGATGACATAGGGAGATCAAAAACAGTGTAGGACCCAGGATAGAGCCTTTGTGTGAAAGGATCTGGAAGCAAGCCTGTTAAACAAACTTCATTTCACGATTTGATAGGAACAATTGGAATTAATCAAACACACCATAGCCCTGGAGCTTATATAGAAAGCCAGCATGCCAAACTCTGTCAAATGCCTTCAAAATATCTAAAGCCACAGCTCAAACCTTGCTGTTATTACCAAGAGCTTCATATACATATTCAGTGATGGTCATTAGCACATCAGCGGTAGATCTGACAAAAAGGAAGCCATATTGTTTGTCAGAGAGTAGTTCATAAGAGGTAAGACACTTAACCATGTCAGCTTTGATTTAAGCTTCGAATACTTTGCCAAAAAGCAGTAGGAAATTAATAGGGCAATAGTTAGAGAGGTCAGAAGGTTCTCCTGAGTTCTTAAAAACAGGAGGATTTCCAACAAGCAGGAAATCAAGAAGCAGTGAGGCAATAGTTGTGGAGTTTGAAGAAAACTGGAGCCAGCTTGGGAGCACATTTCTTTAGGACAATAGCTGAGATCCTGTCACCACTGCTTGTCTTATAGGGGTCTAATTTAAAAGTAATGTCTGAGACCTGTGATGGTGTTATGCACATCTCACTCAGTAGAGCCTCAGTTCTAAGAAGGATATCAGGTGTGGGCACTTTAATTGAGTCGAGTGTTGAGTTGGAAGAGAATTTCCAAGCAAAACATTCAACCTTATCTGCTGTAGATGTTATACATTGTTTCATTTTATTAACAAAAAGTAACTTTGCTTCTTTGAGGACTACTTGCACTCGTTAAAGCAGAGACAAAGAAACGTCTGTTGCAATCAGATGTGTCGTTCTGGTACAGCCAGAAGAAGTGATTCCTGTGGGCTATAGCAGCTGTGCATGTAGGTGAGAAGCAGAGATAAATGCAGTTTAACTTGGTATTTGCTGGAATGAAAGTATTAATGCTGGCTTTCATCCAGGAGGAAACCTCAGACATGTATTTATAAACAGAATGATTAAAAACTGCATTCCAAGGGACATCACAAAGGAAGTCATGGAATGAGTCCCAATCTACATGTGGATAACAGAAAGATATTCTGTTGGTAGAAGGTTCTTGGTTGGTAGGGGAGTAGAAAGAGATGTTTACAGACACTACTGCATGATCAGAGTTGCCAAGAGAGCTGCAAAGTACGACATGAGTCCAGGATAGAGATAAAAAAAAAAAAAAATAAAAATAAAAAAGAGAGTGTGTCCATCAGGGCTACTGAGGAAATGCATAAGGAAGTCCACCATTTGTGTGAGAGATTGAGTGATTGAGAAATTAAGTGTCTGGATTCCAGTGGGGTCAGTGACAGAGTGTTTAATAAGCCACCTTGCATGGTGGGCATTAAAGTCATCAAATAAAATATATATGCAGATAAGTGTAGGGAGATGGCCTTGTCTATATTACCAGAAATACTATCTAGTATGCAATAGTCATGAGAGGAAGAGGAATAGTAGAAAAAGAAGATATTGCTGACTGAGTTAAATAGAGACAGACAGAGACACATGTAAGTGTGATGTGGAGATTCAAGAGAGTGTTCCCTAGCCAGCAGGTGATGTTCACCGACATAAACTTCCAGGCCATGCATGTGGACATTAGAGTCCTTCCTAAGGAGAGGAAGATAGCCAGAAATTGAGAAATCAGAGGAGGGAATTGAAGAGATAAGATTACTTTCATAGAGAGCTAGGATGTCTGGAGACTTTTCGAAGAACAACAATTCCACACTGTAGAAGTTGGTATGAATACCACGAATGTTGGAGAAAGAAAGGTTGAGGGGTTTAGGCGATTTTTGTTGAGCTGGTTTAGATTTATATCTTTGGTCATGGTGTGTTATTTTGGTAAGGAAAGACCTAGTGTAGTAGTAGCAGTTGGTCACCTAATGTAATGTGCAAGAAGGAACTGGCGCAGACTGCAACAAAGTGTAGCCTCTGGGTTGCCCACCGGAGGTGCTTGCAGGTACACCTTTCCATGTTTGACATGGCACTGCATGAACCCCAATATTATACAATTGTTTATCAGAGCAGCCCCTCAAGAGGCTACACAAGTGTACAGGCTCCTAACTACCAGTCAGGAACAGCAACCAGAAAAATTCCAACCTGGTACCCTCAGTATGAAGAGACGTTGCAACCATCCTCACATATCACAAAAAATTCATGACAGTACCACTATTAAGGCCTGAGAAAAGGAAAGGAACCGGGAAATCCTTCCTAAACAGGAAATAAGATATGAGCCTCTACACCTGTTCAAGAGAAGTAAAGGGCGTATGGACCAGGTGATAGGAAAATCTACTATTAAAAAAAAAAAGCAAAAGAAACAAAAATTACAAAAAAAACCAAAAAAAAAAACAAAAAAAAAAACAAACAAATACAAAAAAATAAATAACAGAGGTTTTAATTTTATTAGGCTTGGAAAATTTACCACAGACTATCTTGAAAATTAATTTTCTAAATTAAAACAAGGTTCTGACTGTGCATAATTTATTATAGTACAAAATGTTATCGAGAAACATGTTGAAAAAACCTGAATTACTTCAATTTTTGTTCAAAAATTTCATTAAAGACCTTCCCAATGACATCAGTTCTCATCTATACTGATGACAACTATTTACTCCTGTCATAATGGTAAGCATGATAAATTTGATAAGGTCAAATTGGCAGCTGATCTCAAAAATGACTTTCATTCTTTAGTTAACTGGGGCAATAAATGGCTTGTTAATTTTAACATCACCAAAATGAAACCGCTCTCTCTTAAATGTCTTAGAGAAAAATTTTTTTTTCTTCCACTGGCTGATGCTAACCACCAGGAGAGTGACTCATTACACCTTCTTGGGCTAACCTTTTCCACTGACATGAAATGATTATATTGAATCAATTGTTAGGTCTGCTGTTAGAAAAGTTGGTTCACTGTGTCATGATAGGCAATTTTCTCACCAAAATCTATCTTACATACTAATAAGTTTACCATTCATCTATGCATTGAATATTACTATCAAATCTAGTCTTGTGCTTCTGCTATGTATTTAGAGATTCTTGATAAAATTAAATGAACAAGAATCTGCATTATTGGTCCTGAACTGGCATTTCAGCTTCAGTCACTTTCCCCAGTACCATAATATAGATTTTCTGTGCATTTTCTATAAATATTTGTATGGTAGCTGTTCTGATGAGCTTTCCTCTTTGGTATCTCAACTTTACAAATTTAAGTTCAGTACTAGATTGGCAGCTAGGTTTTATTATTTTGCAGTTGAAATAGCATAGAACTTATGGTTACATCTAGCAAACAGTATATTCTCTTGCATTTCTTGCTTGTAGAACTCTCTTCCAGCATTTTACTTTCCAGTCAACTTTGATCTTGTGAAAATTTAAATGCAATGTCAATTGTTATCATATCTTCTTAATTCCTGTTCTTTTATTGTTCTCTCTTAATGATTTTTACTTAGATTCTTTCACTCTCAGTAACCCTTTGCATTTTAGTGGCTTTATCACCTTGCTTGCAGTAAAATGATTTAAAAATAACTTTAAATTTGATGTTAAAATAATGTAATTTTGCTCAAAATGTCAATATTTGGTGGATGAAGTGGCATGCCAGACATTTCATCACTTACCAGAACTAAAGATTAGTATCACCAAAGATATTAAAATGTCACTTTTTGTAGCAGGCTTATGTTACACAAAATGATTGTCCCAGAAAACAGGAAATATGAATAATGCTAAAGTTTTTTTTAAATAAATCTTGGTGATTTAAAAATTCTATCAGATACCACACACTGGATGTTTCTGTTTTATATTCAAGGTTGTTAAATTACAGGCTTGCAGAAGTTCTTTGACAAATATCTTTCAATATGAAAAGAGAACTTGGAATTATATTGTCAAATATATTCTTTAAGGATTATCAAATCTCTAAAGGCAACCAGCACTTAAGGTTTTGAAGTTGTCTTAAAATTTTAACACAGTAACAGTCCTAAGTATTTTTCTCATATTCAGTGAATTAAAAGGCAAATAATATGCTTTCAAGTTGAGTCTATAAATGTAATAAAAAATGTGGATATTATCAAAATTGTTTCCGAGTTTTCTTATTTATTTTCTTCCTAAAATACATTTATATTTTGTTGAGTATATTTTTAAAAGTTGAAATCACTTTGACATTTTCTGCATTCTGATCAATAATACTAATATATTTTTAGTATTGGGTACAGGTGTTAATTAGCTAATTATTTGATGAGACAAACATGCCTCTTACTAAAGGTTTTTTTCAATAATTGGAAGGTTACTAGAAATTTAGGAATAATACACTCACCTCCAATCAAACACAAGTTGTATATATGGTTGCTAGGCCTTTACAGGGAATAGCTTTGCATTATACACAATTATTTTACAACAGCTCAATTTGGTAAAAATAAATGCCACCGCTTTTATTTTATATTTAAAAAGAGTTGAATTTAAAGTAAAAAAGAAAGTTAAAAAGCTTTGTTCCTATAATTTTGTTAAGTTCAAAAAGGATTTTAGGATGAGTAAGTAATGAAAAGGCAAAGAAAGGAGAAACCCGTCAGATCAACCTTTCATTAACATTATTGTATACAAGCAAGTTACATTTCTTGTGCCATAAACTGGTATGCAAGAGAAGCCATTATGAAATGATCATTTCTTCATTTCTGCAGAACCCAATGCATCAAAATAAATTTGGGTGTCAGACAAAGTAAAAACTTAGTAAATGTATATTAAATTGGATGATGTCTCTTTCACACCTATCACAAAATGGAGAAATGCATCATAAATTGATTTTCTACAAGTAAGCTTAATTTTCACCATAAACAAAGTGTGTGTGTGTGTGTCTGTTTGCTGATATCTCCTGGCAAGTGGACCAAACAATCACACAAAGGTTCATCTACAAAACTCTGGAGTAGATGTGCTGAATATAACATCAATCAGCTAAGTGACAAATTTTAAATTCACAGTAATCATATATATATATATATATATATATATATATATATATATATATATATATATATATATGTGTGTGTGTGTGTGTATTTAGGCAGGATATCTTCATTCAAGCATGTTTCATTAAATAATATAGATATATTATGCTTACTTATTTTGATAATAATCCTGTCTAGTTCTATAATTATCTTGATGTTAAGTTGAAATTCATCAACAAAGTTACCATATTTTTTGTTAACCCAAGTACTTTCAATCTCATCTGAGATCATCTTCAGGGGTGAATTATATATATATATATATATATATATATATACACACACACACACACACACACACACACATACAATAATTTATAATTTCTTTATTTATTTTAAGGAAACCTTTTGGATTTATAATAAATCTAATTCTAGAACAATTATGACTAGGGTTTTGTCATGACAGCTATCAGCTTATTTGCATAGAAATCTTTGAATATTAAATCAATTCTCTTAAGCAGCAAACAAAATGAAACAACAGTTTCACAATGATTAAAGTCAGGAATTACTTAATACAACTTTCCTAAGACATTATCATCCAGAGCCTTCTGGAGTTTTCATATTTTTTTCAAATTGAATCAGCTTCCATTTTTGACAACACAGTATGATTTCTTTAAAAAAAAGAGAGAGACTTACCAGAAGTGTACATACCTAGCTATTGAGTAAAGATTAGTAGATAATTGAGTAAAGATAATTTTTCAGAGTGTTACAACCGTAATCAGGTTGATTTGCAATGAGTTCCCCATATTGATAGACTTGTGCCAAATTAAACTACATCTAGGGCATTTCGCTATAGAAATTAGCAGAGTAGTTTAGCAGACTATAAATACTATAGCAAGTTCAACCTTTACTAGGTCTCCACACTTGTAGCCTTGTGCCATACAAAGCTTTGTAAATAGATGTTTTGGGTGTCATGTCATGGATTTCTGGTGGTTAAGTTAGTCTTGCAGACCAATTAATACTGTAATGAGTAATTCTCAATAGGTGCTCCACATTTGTGGCCTTGTACAATGCTTACTAAATACTGATACGGAAAAATAGTCTCAATAATAGGATAGCATATCAGTATTTTTAAATGACTGTAGATTAAAGAGGAAATAAGTTGTTGTAAGATGATTGTGTAATATAGAAGTTCTAAGGCCAGTTGTCATATCAAATAGCAATAACATCATTTTGAAAGATTCACACAAACATTCATTAATACATTCATACAGAGCAGTTCATGCATTATCAACAAGTCAATTGGAAATTTCTAAAGTTGGTGAAGTGTAAAGGACACTTCTGGAGAGCAAACCTCAAGAATTTTCACCAATTTGATTCTGTAGCTGCTTGCGTCTGTGTGTGAGTTCCTGTATGCGAAGAAGATTGCGCTCGTGTCGGGTCTCAAGAATTTGCATCAGGGGGCCCATCAACACCTCCATGATAACACTTAGGCTGCGGCTATAGACTGGAAAAATTGAAAAACACAAAAAAAAAAAAAAAAAAGAAAAAAAAAAAAGGAAGGATTTTATTAAAATTTATTTTGCACATTTAAGCCTTTCTATATATATATATATTGTGTAATCATGAAAGCATTTATAATGAAGGTAAAAGTGTGAACTGGTGTAATTATTCAAGTAAAAAGGGAAAGTATGTCTGAATGTGAATTGAAACTGCTTGTATCACTTTCTGTTCAAAAAATTGATATGGCACCTCGATTTCCAAAGGAAATGAACAAATCCCAAGTCCAAACTCAAAAATCCAGGGGACAGAAAGAAATGTCAAAATCTTGAATCACTGGTCCAATGTCAAAAATCCCAATACACATAAACAGTTAGAAATTCAACACACAGAGCAACACCCACAGTCACTTGCAAGTCTATGGATGAGGTAGAAAAAAACCCCAAAAAACTGATCCCTAGATCGAGAACACCAACAGCTTTTACTGATGGAATGATTTTTTTTCATTGGTCGACATTTGGAGAGGACAAACAATATTAGCATATCGAAGATGTATTTAAAGCAAAAGCTGCCACAGATTTATTTTTATTTTGGTTGTTTTCAGCATATTGTACAGGACACAAATGCTCTTTTTCATGGTAAGTGATTTTCTCTTTTACCACACTTTCATGTTCACTCTGAGAAGGTATGGATTTCATTTTCTTAAGATTTTGTCCCATTGCCACTCATCTTTATAATAATGTTGTAATCTGGCATAAGTAGATGGGCAATCCATTTTTAACACTAAATAAAATTCAGTGAAATGCCTAGACTTACACTGCAATAAAAATAGATTTTAGAAGTATGCTCTTTTAACTTAAAAATCAGTTTACCTTCTTTAAAATTATTTTGTAGTAACAAAGCTGACACATAGATTGAAACCTTCTGTTCCCTCTTCTTAATACGACTTGAAGCAGCCCACAAATAAAATAAATTGACACATTTCCAAAACAATGTAATTGTTGAACTGTCATCCTTATTTGTGCTCCAAACCTAACAACTTTAATAGAAATATGATTTTCTTTCAGAACAAAGAATTTCTTCCATGATGTTGATGAAAAAAAAATCATCATAAACCCAAGGTTGAAATAAAAGAAGCATTCTTGTAAAATTCTCAGCTAAAATGCTAGCTACAAATAGTTATACATGTTAAAGCCATATTTTAAAAAGGATTGTATTAATTCCCAATTATCCACTTTTCCTGAGTTTCAGGCATTTTTAAAGTAAAGTCAATAGTAATGCATTTACACAATTTATAAAATAGCCATATTCTGGTCACTGACAATCCCATTTATCATCAGTTGCAATGCATTCTTATAATAAAACACTGCTAGAAAATAATTATATATCTATACAAATATTTCCAATACACTAAAACAAATTTTAAATCAAAAATTGCATAATTTGATGTTTGATCATCAAGTTTTGCTCCTCCTGCCAGAAAAAAATAACTAAAGCATGAAAGTGGTGAAGTATTAATGATACAGTGAATGTACAGCAGAAAAAATCATAAAGCCAAAATCTTTCCTACATCTATCATCAGGTTCAAATGTAGTTAGTGTTTCACTGTGTTATGGGGTCCTCCCCTTTTTCATATAAGTGGACTTGACCAAAGTGTTACTTGGACTGCTGCCGTTAAATACCCAGAGTCAATCTGAGTAGAGAGAGTAAGAAGACTGAGATTGTGATTGAGTTGGAGGTAGAGTAATAGTGTGAGGTAACCGCTTGTAGAAGTCAGTTACAAGCACATTGACTCTAAGGAAGTCCTACTCCGAGACTGTATATATCTATATGTTATTGCTACTAACCGCGTTCCTGGATTTACTAACAGTATTACCCTTTGTATTATTGTGTAAATACATTTTATTTCTTATATTTAATTCCTGCGTTTGTCATTCAATGGAGACCGAATTTGATCTCGGAATCCACAACACACTCTTCCCACATGACTCCCAGAAGTTGTCATTAAATATGTAATCAGAGTGAGATTTTTCATGTATAATTTGCATTCCTATATTAAAATACTATTACAAAAACAATTATTATACACATAATAGCCCGATTCCATAAATAATGTTTGTGTTGATTCCTTTTTTTACATGAATTTCCAGGTAAAACCATTAGCAAAGCTGGAATATCATATCACAGATTATATAAATAACTTTTCAATAAAATTCATTAAACATTTTTTTTTAAATTTAAAAAAATAAAAATTCAAAGTCATAAAAAACCTACCTGAAGCATTGTGAAGTTTTGTAATCAAATCCATGTTGGGTTTTCTAGCCAAACTCTGGTAGGCCTCCTCTTCTTCCTGGCTGAAAATTCTGGGAAGTTCCACAAGGGATTCAAGACAAGCCTGGCCAATACTTGTGCTTGGAACTATATGAAGTGGGATCTCTATTCGTTCATATCTGTCATTACACATAAAATCAACTATTAATTCATTTAATAATCACTCAAATCCACTTTATTATTACAAGTAGGACTAATATTAAAATATTTCACCATGTATCTTTACAATTTAGGAATGCAGCACAAATCAATTCATGTTATATGAAATTAGTTTCATTTTTAATATGATCTTTTTAACTAAATTCACTCAAAAAGCTGATTATATTGTGACAGTTATCAAATTGGTGGACAGTTATGTTTATTTTTTTTATAATGATTAAAAAATGTAATAAATAAGCAACACTTTCAGAACATTTTGCTTTTTTTTTTATTGAAAGGCAAAAATGTAATGAGATTTGTGTAATTTTTGGAGAAGGGTCTGTGAATGAACAAATGTGTCTTAAGTGACTTGTGATATTTTGTACTGGAGATTTGAACAATATACCACAACTGGGTTGACCAACTGAAGATGCTAACAATCAAATCAGGACATTCTCTAGGAATAATGCTATGTGACTAACATATCCAAATCAAGTCTTCATAATCATTTGCACCTGTTTGGTTACATTAATTGTTTTAATATTTATTTTCTATATTCTGCTTTAAAATTAATGATCTAAAAATAATTTCTTTCTTCAATGTAATTTTTAAGAAGGCAATTGTAGTTGATGGCATAAAACTATAAAAAACAAATACTTACTGATTATCAGAAAGACCTATTTTTCTAGACTGAAAGCATGTCACTTGAATCTTGTTTTGCTGAAATCAAAACCAGACATTATATAATAAAAAAGGCTGACAACAAAAGGATTGTAGAAAGCTGATAAATTAAGTAGCAAAATAAAGAAAATAATGATAAATTGCAAAAAAGATAAATGAACCTTGCTAGTTTTGTGGGTCATTCAATTTGAATGTCTCTTAATATCTGCATGAATTGTACACTACTTGAATTTCAAAGGCAACATGAGATGTTATAATTCAACTATTATCCTTTGCATCAATAGGTGCACAGATAGCTGGCCCAACTGGATTTAAATTTAGATAGGTTATTTTACCAGCACGCCAACCCCATGGGTCATTTCATGCCAAAATGGGTAGTTTTAAGATTTGTTTTTATTTTGTGTATTTTGCAGACAAATTTTTTTATAAGTTGTTATTAGATAAGGGTGAGGATGTAATTCGGTTTTAGATGCATTTTATAGCCAGGTGTTTATTCAGTTTTTTTTTTTATATTTTGGGGTAGAGTTTTGTCATTTTCAAGAATTTTAGAATGACTTTGGATTCATCACTCTCAAAGAGAGCACTACAGTTGGGTATATTGTAGAAGTATTTTCACATAGATGCCAGTTTTTTGCAGTTAATTAAAAAATATTTGGCAGTGAGTACTTAACAGTCTAGGCATTTTGGAGTGTCTTTATTTTTTAGGAGGAAGGAGTGTGTGCGTCGGATTTTGATTCTCGTAAGCGTGATATCATCTTTGCTTGAGTGTCTGCTGCTGTGATATACAGTCAGAATGGGTTTTATTTGATATAGTTTGTTGTTTGTGTGTGTATTCCATGATTTTTGCCATTGGTTGGGGATGTAAGAGTTAATTGTGGCTTTCAAGTCTATAATGGGGATTTCTGAATTTGATATGTTCATTGAGAGGGATTCCTTGGCTGCCTTATCATACCTGCTATTGCCAGGGATCCCAATATGGCCCAAATGAAAATGGTCTTTATTGTTTCAGAGTGCATGGTTAAATCAATCACATTGAAATACTGTCATATAATGGACAACACTCAAGTAGTACCATAATAAATTTTACATACATTTATTATAGAATTTTATTACTGTTACCATTAAAAAGCTCCAATATTCTATTGAACAGAAAATATACTTAATTTAGCAAATATCCTTGATCATGCCCTCAGATGCATCTTCAACTAAACAAAGAAATCCATATACAAAGTTGTTACATTTTATTACCATATAGATTGACACAAAAAAATTCCCAGTAACATCTTTTACTCAATGTTAGTGAAATCTTAGAAGTATCTTTCATGCTTACTCAGCTATTTATTGCTTGTGCAATCTGTCAGGTGTAATGTGCTATATAACAAGCCTTAGGAAAAATTCAGAAGGTAGTAAAATGCATTACATATCAATCACGGCGATCTTTATTTAAGGCCATGTCATTGTGCATCTCCAGTACTAGAGACTTATTTCAAATTTTCTTGTTCAACTGGGAGCAAAGTTTTTTTTAGTTTCAGTTTGTACTAGTTTACTGCTTTCGCAGGCATAAGAAATTTTTGTTTTTTACATTTGGAATAACTCTAGCTTATTTAATTAAATGAAATAAGTACAAGATTTATTTTATTTCCTTTGGGCTTGCTATATTACTTTATGTTTTCACTGCAAAACAAATATTTTTGTGTGAAATTCACTAAAAAATGTAATTTAAGAAACTTGGTTTTGTTACTTCAAAGTTAATTTAACATTTTCCACTTGAATTTAATATTCTTCTCTGTGAAATTCTTATTCTTAAAAGCAAATATACTAATGATCAACTTTATTTTTGCATAATCATTATTTCTATTTCTAACAAATGAAAAAAGGATGTTGAATTTTTACCACACTTCATAACTGAAATGTAACATTTTAATTTTACTTGATTTAAAGAAATCAATTTCTTAATCCAATTTTCTCTATTTTTTCTATAAAACAAATGTTACAAAGTCTCTTGCAAGAAAGTTAATTTTAATGTTTTATGTTTAATTTTTAACATTTTACACTGCAAAATTTATTTGAAAATGCTATTGTTATATAAACTTAATTTAATATTTTTCTCTATATTTTTATTCATAAATATATTGAAGATAAAATTTAATTTTTTTTAGTAATTTGTTTTTCTTTCTAAAAAGTATTTAAAATTTTAGTTTAGCTTAAATTAAATAAAAGAGGAGCAAATGTGATATTTTATGCTACAAAATTAATGAAAAATAATTTAACATTGTTATATAAAGTTAATGTCATAATTAAATTCAATAAATTTAATCCGATATTTTTAGATGCTGTAAATGAGATGTACAAAACATTAACCTTAAGCCTGCTTCTAAACCATACATTTTTAAGATTTCATTTTTTTTCTGTTTATGCAATAATAATAAAAAAGTATATTTATGACAAAATGAATCAGCATAAGTTTATTTATTTCTAAACAATAAAATAAGTTACTTTCATGTGATTTTTATTTCATGTCATTATTGTTTCAGAATTCACAGTTCCAGTATGGTTTTTATTTCATTAAAGTCTATTAACATGGATAATTAATTCAAAGATTAAAATATGTATAACATTTTGTACACCCTTGTTAATTGGATGGGAAGTGATGCATACAAAGGTCTGCCAAATTATATATTAATTGTAATAAGACCTTAGTAAAGAAAGAAATATACCAAGATAAAGAGAATTAACTTTTCGAGCCAAATTAATTATATTCTTAGTCTCCACTTTTTTCTCTGAATTTCTGCAGCAGCAAACTACCACAAACTCAAATTGAAACTAAAAAACTCTGCTCCTAGTGGAATGATGAGATTTGAGATAAGCCTCCAGTTCTGGGTGACAGGTGCACAATGATACAGCCTTAAATGCATCATTACTCAGTACAGAAAAAAAAAATTTAGACAAGAGTCTAAGGTGATGAAAAAAGAATTTAGTAGAAAAATTAAAAATGAAAAATGTTTAGATGATGACCAGCATTTAACATTTGAACCTGAATACACTCTACAGGCAGAGTAACAAAATTTTCCCTGAGTTTGGAGGAATTCAAAGGAAATTCTTCATTACAAAATGCTGGAATTTGGAGACAAACTGCTACTGCTCTAGCTTATTTAAATGACAGAGTGGAAAAGAAAAAAAAACTTTTTTTTTTCAGAATAAAGAAATAGTGACTTTGCTGCATAATAATGTCCACCTTCAAACTGGAAACATGACGCATAAAATAGGCAGCATACTCCTATCCAAGAGTTGTCACCTTCAGACTATGATTTTATTCATTCTATATAAACACTCCTTGTCTGGTCAGCAGGTACAAGTTCAAAATATCAGAAAATAATTCATCAAATCAAAACCGAAATCATTATTTACGATGAAATACAGAATTTACCAAAAAGGTGGGATTAGATCAGAGAAATCAAAGAAAAATACTTTGATGGTCAAATAATGATGCTATCAATTATGAACAAAAGAGTTTGGTTTTTGGCTTTTTTAAATAAATGCTGCAAATCTTTTTGTCAACCTAGTATTATTTCTTCTATTTTCAATATCTGTGAATGAAAACAATTCCTGGAAGAGTCTGTAGCAATGGCAGTATAAATCTCATAACATATGCTCTAGCAATCCAGAAAATCTCTTGGGGGGAAAAAAAAAGTGTCAATTTACCTTTGTTGCTTTATCTTCATTAAACACGGAGAAGATGACACCAATAAATCCAGGATCCATCATTTGGTACATTGCCTGAGTTCTTACATCTATCAATGAAATATAAGGTAGAGCTAACTCAATGCCAATTATACATTCTATTTATAATTTCTGAACACTTCTTGCAAAGTTTCAAATGCTATTAAGCTTTATCCTCACTAAATTCTCAAGCAATATAAAACTGTTTTGATTGATTTATTGTTTTCTACAGCCCATCAACCTTTTGCAGGTTATTTAAATCCAGAAAATATTTTTAAATTGTAAGAATTTTTTTGGAGATAATGATTTAGTGATAGAAGTCTTACTAATTAACCCATAGCTAGAGAAAGAAGAGATGGATCCATACCATTCCAGGAGATAATTGTGTATAAGTGAATATAATGAACCCAACAGGAACTGGAATTTCGCTCTCCTATTAACAATTCTAAACCATTAACCATTATACCAACCACACATTCAAGTTTACAGTACCTGGTATTCCCAAGTGGTCCCCAATCTAAGTACTAAACTGGTTTAATGTTGCTTAACTTCAGTGATTGTATAGGAACCGGTGTTCCAATGTGATATGGCAAGTAAGCCCAACAAACTTGTCCAACAAATAACTATATAATAGTTCTAAAGTGGAAAACATACAAGTTCTCTATTTATGACAAGTCTCACTTTTTAAATCTCAAAGTAGATAAAAACTTATTCCAGATGTGATTATTACTAAAATTTTCAAAAGATCTTTTGGTCCTTTTTCACTATGTCTCATATTGCAAATACACGTTTATTAGAACTTTTGAAAGTATCAAATTTTGTTGCAAAATAAAAATAGAAAATAAATGCAGTAAAGAACTTTTGGATGCGTGGGAAGTGTAATGGTTATCGGCACAGAAAGTGTAATAAATTCAAATCCCAGTCTTGTCTGTTGTGTTCACTTTTGCACAAATACCCTTGGGAAAAGCATGAATCCATATCTTTCTCTCTACCCCCCTCAGTTATGAACTAATTAGCAAAGTATACTGAGCTCTTTAGTCTTGAATGGCAACCAACCAGTCTGAGAAGAAATTCAAAACCATTGAGAAGTCAACAAGAAACCACTTTCCTATCTTTTCCAAGAATGCATAGCAATTCACTGATAATATAGAAATGGAATCTATGGTGAGTCACAATCATCTACATTCTGAACAGACACAGCATAAAAAAAACATTCAGTGATAAGAAAGTAACATTTGAAAAACCATGCAACACGGATATTTGAATAAGATAAAGAAAAGTCATGGTCCAAGAAGAGTATTTGGTTATGAAACTATATTGCTTTTATTTGTATAAGAATGAATGAATACTCATTTCTCATGTGAATTAAAAAGCCTTTTCATTTGGAATAGAATTGTGAAGAAAAAGCAATGAAAATGTAAACTCAAAGAAAACAACGAGTAGAATCAGGTCAAAAATGAAAGTCACAATTTTTAAAATCTGAAACTATGAATTTACTATGATTGCTCAATAATATGTTTTTTTAATTTGTTTTTATAATTAAAAAAAGATGACTGAATAAAAGACTTACCAACATGTGAGGGCCACACTGTGATGTGAGGGTGAGAATGGTACCAGCCAAGAACACGTAAGGGTCGTTGAAGCTCAAGGGCTAATTCCTGAGTCAAAGCATAAAATATTGTTTCTATGGAATAAAGTCCTAATATTTTGAAAAAAGACACTGTTGAAATATAAATTTTAACATTATTGGCTCAACTACTGTTTACATGGAATTCTTAATAAAAGCAGTGGAGAATTGTCGAACATTTAAGTTTTTTAAAACGAGTTAAATTAAGTTTCCTATGGTGGGGTTAAGAGTAGGTTTTTATTCTTTTATTCAAGCATAATATTAATTTTGTCATTGTTTAGGAAATTTAATTCAATTGTTTTGGTAAAATAGTAAAAAAAAAAATAAAAGCTTCACTATTGCCTGCTTACTAAGTGGGCAATAAATAATTACTGCTTTTCTAAGCATGTACAGTAGACAGTAGTCCCACCACATTATATTAGAATTAAAAGACAATTTTAATTTTGCCATAGTGTTACTTGCAGTATACCCTATTCTCTCCACCTCTACAAGAAAAAAAAATTCAATCATCAATATGATTAATCAATTTTCATAAAATTTATTTCATAAAGAAGAATTGTAATAAAAATTCTGAAATAAACTCTATATAGAAATGGAGTTGGTTTAAAAATTTATGCTTTCTACCTTGTAACTAGAAATATGCAGAGAAAAGGTAATTTGAAAATTCCCAAGGCTAAATGTTCATATGAATTTGAAAATGTAATAAATTTGAATGAAACTTTTGAGAGTAATTCATTGATTACTGAAGTTATTTCAGAAAATGTTACTTTCTTTAAAAAATTAGTGGAAACTTTTTAAGTAAACCAATACTTATTTAATTTTAGGACATCTCAATAAATATCAATCCAAACATAAATTAACTTTTATTGAGTAATCAAATGATAAAATAAGAAAAATACACTTCTGGAGATGTGTCAATTATGAGTTTTTTCCATTTTGTCATTCGATTACCTACTATATATATCTCTAACATAGATTTGTATATAATATCTTCCGAAAGATAACCATTCAAAACTTACCTCTGCTTTTATTGAAGCAGCAGAGAGCTGTTCAGGAGAAATCTCCACACGATCTGCTTGTTTATCTGAACGTCTTAACATAATTACTGCAGAAATATGGGAGACTTTTTTCTCATCAATCTGGTAAAAGAAAGATTTTACAGTAAATATGTTTGATATAAAATTCAACACAACTAATTATGAATAGTTTCACAATTTTATTGCCTTTATTATGAACTAGCAGCCATACCCAGCTGGTCGATCAGAAAAAGCGTTCAATTAGAATGGAGCAAAAACGGCATCATGTTTAGATGTAACAGAGTATATCTTCAAGTACTTTCATTAAAAGGCATTTTGAATTAATGCAGTTACTGATATAACAGAAGTAGTCTGTATTTATTCAATCAAAGTTAGCCAAGGACATGAAGGGGTAAAACAGGCAGCATGAAGACCCACTTCAGACCACAATTATTTTGAAATTCAATTTGTCAGTGTGCTAACAGGGATGTAAAAGAGGATACATTTATAAAGCAGTTGTTAAGTTTGATGAAAATTGGTTAAAAGATCAACAAAAAATAAGAAAGAAACCAGTATAAATTGCCATTTTTCCACTATTTACATGGGTTTTCACTATATGAGTGGACTCAATTATCAAGTTAAATGACTGTTAAACAATCAACTTATTGTTGGTTACAATTGAGTGAAGTTTGTATTAGATTGCTCAAAAATGGAAGGAGTTATTTTAAAATTTGTGTTAAAATTGGTGTTTTGTTTTTTGCAGCTTTTCGCTAACAGTGGCGTAGAAATAAAAATGAAGTATCGTCGAGCTCACCATGATGTAAGTAACCTACATACCAAGTTTGAATGAAATTGGAGAAAAAAAGTTGAATTTATTGATTTTTAATCGGCTTTATCGATTATTGATTTTTTACGCTAAGAACCTATCTCTTACATTGTACAATGTATGTGCCAAGTTTGATCAAAATCGGTTGGATAGATTTCAAGTGAAAATGTATCAGACAGACACACAGACATCCTGTTTTATATAGAGAGGTTTCAATCAAGAAATGATAATGTAAGGAGATTGTTCCATAATTTGATATGACAATCCTGAAAGATATTTTGTTAAAAAAAACAAAAAACAAACAAAACAGGTCACATTCACAAGATTTCTATAAATAAACACTTAGAATGTCTATTATCCTTCAGTACAATCAAGATGGTATAGTTTTAAGTTTTATTTGAATTCATTTTTTAATAGTTTTCTTAATCTTGTCTTTTTATTGCAACATTTTATTTTTAAGTCAAATACTTGCTGTTTACACTGCTTACTTTTAAATATATAAAAATACACCAATAATATAACTTTGAAAAGAATCATTATATACAATATTGTTTATACAACTGAACCTCTTCTTCATATACTTGTTGATAACACAATCTTTCACCCATTTCATTCATCAACCCTCATAGGGTGTATTCCATATGAAAAGTTGAGACCTTTTCCTTGGCTCATTCAATTGAATTTACTGTTAAAAACAGGGGTATATTTTTTTTAACAAATGATCAAAACTAGAGAGAGAGAGAAAGAAAAGGTTTCAGTTTCATGGTTAGCATCTTAAAACTTCTTTCCTAGTTTAGAAATTGCATCAGAAAATTTTTGTCTATATTCTGAATATCGAAAGTTAAAGGAAGCTTAGTTTTACTTTTAAGAATAATTGGATATCTGTATTTATTCATCCAACTTATACAGCTGCCCAACAAACCAATATCTGCTGTTTTCATTTTCAACTGAACTTGTTTTGTTTCAATAAATTTTGACTTTTCTTTTATTTAAAAAAAAAAAATTTCCTCATTCCCCAGTAATACTCCGTCAATTATCTGGGAGAAAGAGTTTTCTTCCCCCCACCCCCCCCGTCACAATACACCTGGTGAGAGCTGAAGAATACATTGTCCAAACTCCAAAATGTTTTAAATAACAAAGTATATTTGGTACACATAAAATTTGTTACTTAATCTGTACATGAGAATATTTTTTGTTTTTCTTATAGATTTTTTCTGAAAACCTAGATCACTAATTGAAAGTTTATCCGCTAAAAAAGGACTGTGTCTGTAACCAACAAACATTCAAACTTCAAAGGGTTTTTCAATTCATTCAGTCTTCCTCGAGTATAAAAATATTGTTTTGGTTTTCAAGTGTTTTGACAGAAATGAATTCTGAGCATCAATATTTATTTACTCAATATTCCATTTATTTTCCTGGTAAACGGATGTCAAATAAATATTTACCATATTCCAAACATAATTCTGTGAATATTATAATCTCATCCATTTTAAGTTCAAAATTCAAATTTTTACTACAAAAACACTGAAACCTAAACCGTTGGATTGTTGAATTGAACATGGAAACTTGAAGTTAAATTGAAAGGGAAAAGCCGACACGTCATTTAAACAACAAAAGAATACAATTAAAATGTTCAAACTCAAGAATATTGACTTAAAAAAAGTCATATTTTTATCTTTCTAGGGCTTTTAAATTTAATTAATCTAGGTTCAAATAAAATACATCCATAGATTTTTTTTTGTGTGTGTGTGTGATTTACTTACTGGTCTGGTAGGTTTCAAATGTTAGATTATTATTGTTACTCTTAATGAATGTTATTTGAATTACTCTGTTAAAAACAGGAGTGAGAAGTATTTTGATTTTTGTTGTTTTTTTAATAACTCTTCGTCTTCCTTCTTCGGTCAAATACACTTCGAGTGATTTGGCTACTATTTTTTTTGTCTTCAGATCAAATTCAAATATAAAGAAATTTCGCTGTTATTTTAAATTTAAAGATTCATAACTTCATATCAAATGATCCAAACTAGAAAGAGAAAAAAAACAAGGTTTCATGGTTAAACTTTAACATCTTAAAACTTAAACTTCCACTTTCCTAGTTTAAAACTTTAGATATTGCATCAGAAATTTTAATTTTATTTTTATCTATTTAAAAAGTTAAAAAGCTTAGTTTTACTTTTAAGAATACTATTCATTTAAATTATGGTTTTCTCGTACAGTACTTGAAAAACTATGTAACGAGTGTCATCAGTGAATAACATTTTTTTTTAATTTTTTAACAAACTGTAAAAATTTTACAAAAATTAAATTACCAAAATTGCATGTGTTTTTTTGTTTTCTTTTTGCCCCAGAATGGCTTTTCCCTATCATTTAAGTTTAGGAAAAAACTGTATTTTGTGTAGAACCACACTAGTAAATTTTTGTTTAAATACAAAACCCAAAACTTCAACCCTGCTAAATTTGCTTTTTTCTTGACACCTGAAAGATAAATTAAATTCATTATTTTTTATCCAAATATACTTCTAATCTAGTAACGACACATTCGATGCCAATACCAGTGTTTAATTACAAGTAAGGACATTTTTTTATCTTAGTTATAAACAATTATCACTTTTTAAAGTAATTTACCTCTCCAAGCAGAAGGCCCATCACTTCCTCCCGTTCGGTAGACAAGGCATGTGTTAAGCACACCAAGTAAGCAGCTGATTCTAATTGTACAGATGCTACAGCTGCCATTTTCTTTTCTTTTTTCAATTATGATCTGTGAAAATTTAGAAAAAAATGACCAAAGAAAGAAAAAGAAAACTACAAGGAAAAGTGTTACTAATCATCACCGCCGCTAATCTGATGGTAAGGAAAATAAAATCGTCTCCTAACAATAGAGAGCAATAAACAATAATAATAATATTCGACTACAGACGTTTAAAGGAGACGGACACTTTCTCTAATTCACGAACCAGCAAAAATTACGCTAAATGACAAACGATAAAATTAAAATCTAAAAGTTATTTTGTCATAATCTTTCATTAAAAGATTAGCAAAAAATATTTTACATTTCAGTTCACTTAAGTTAAAAAAAAAACTGAAACAATTTTGTTTTTGTAATAAATGTTTGGAAGGCTTCTGATAAGTTTGACCCGAGATCACAGTTGACGTGAGGTTCTCCCCCGTACACATGTGGGTGGTGTCGGCTAGATCACTTTACGACTGAATAGTGAGATCGATCATCATTGAGTGCCTCATATTTTTGGCCTTGTGCCACATCTAAGCTACGCTTAGAAAATCACCGTGTGGGTGGTGCCAAAAACGGTTCAAATTCCTCATCACTTTCCTCCTCTTTATGACGCCTCAGGCAGCATTGATTGATTAATTAAAAAATCCTATATTCCTAAACGTAACCCCCCCCACTTTAAGTTTAAATGGGAAAGATGTGACATATGGTAACAAATCTCTGAAACTGGACTGTGGTTAATTTTCTCCTCAAAATTTTAATTATTAATTTTTATCTTTCATTTAACCTTATTAATATTATTGTGAGTTTTTATCACGACAGTAAAACGGACTGAGCGTTATTGAAAGCAATAAAGAAAACTTTAGTAGTTGTTTTTTTTATTTTATTTTTATTGCTTTTTAAACAAACGCGCAAAACGCCAAGGTTTAAAAAAAGTTTAAACAAAAAATTAATTTTTTAGATTTCAATAAAAAAAAAATCTCTTTTTGAATTTTGAAGTTTATTTATTACGTTAACTTTGACGAAAAATATGTTTTTTTTTGTTTTAAAAATCTTGCCCATTTTTGCATCATGCCCTCTTTCACGACTTACTCTCTATGGCTTTCTTTGTTTTTTGTTAGGCGTCGTGTGTACAAAAATTTACGGATTTTTTAAAGAAAAAAAAATAAAACGGTTTTCTCAAGTTTTCAAAAATAAGAAAAGAAAAAGAATTGTCATGGAAACTTTCGCATACATCCAGTAATTTCCATCCAGTAAATTCTCTTTTCTTTACTAACAATAAAGTTAAAACCAAAGATCAGATATCTTAGGAAATTTTAAAATTGCGAAATTAATAAAAAAAAATTATACTTTAAATTTCACCCAGATTTGTATTCGCGCAAAGTATTTTCAAAAAGTTTAATTTGAATTTTGTAAATGTTTTAAAAACATGTTTTATTAATGACCAGAAAAGTCATTGGAAAACTGAATCGAAGAAAAGTCATAGATGAAAATTCATAGAATTACACTTTGGAAAAAAAAACTTCATATAGAGAAAATAAGAGATATTTTAATAACAAAATAAACATATTTAATTTATTTAATTTTATAATAATTAAATAATTTATTTTAATTATTAAAATTTAATACAGTAAATGTTGATGACAGAAGTCGCCAAAAAAGAAAGTGTGATTTGATTTATTTTTTCTCTATGATTTATTTCCTACTTATATACTTTTTAAATCAATTCATCCAAAGCAAAGCAATAATGCCACTAAGATACAAAAGGCTACACTGTGAGTGAGACAGAATGAAAAGACTTTGAAGGAACCAGAAACCCAATACTAAACAGGAAACAAGGGATAAACGAAACCTCTACTCTTATTCAAAAGACCAAGGAGGAGTGTGAACCAGACAATAGACAACCCTATCTACTCCTATTAATACTAAACTTTGTTTTAAAAAATATGACCTTTCCCTACCTTAACAAAGCTTATCTTATAAATTTTTCCCCATAACCGTTGTTTTTTTTTTTTTACTTTATAAAGTTAGGCGTTCTTTTTGCTAGTTTAATGGGGTATTAATGAGGTTTGTGCAATTTTTGTAAAAAAAGGATTTTTTTTTACATTGCAGTTAGACAAGCATAAAATGAACTACTTTTCCTATGATCCTTTATAGCTATAAATATATTTACTTTTAATCGCAGTTTTAAATGTTTATTTTGTCGGTAGCACCAAATATGATGAAAGTAAAATTTGATGTACTACTGACAAATGCAAACATTGATTGACATTTGACAATATCAACATTACTACTTTCATGATAGAAATTTCTACGTGGTCACAACTATGTAAAACAAACATAAAACTCTCAACATGTTTCCTAAACATTTTTCATTTTACAATATATGTTTTAAGAAAACAAGTAACAATGAATCAAAGCAAGGCAAATAAAGTAATATGCATTTTGGCTCTCAGATTGGATGGTATTGGTAAGACACAGTTCAAGGGAGATAATCCTAATTTGAAACTGCATTTATAGAACAGAAGTAGATGTGCATTGTGGTGTGATAAATGAGAAATCCGAGAACCGAGTTTGAATTTGAATCGTGTTCGTTACATTCACTTCCACGCAAATAACTTTGGGAAAGGCATGAATCCATCCCCCCTCGCCCCAGTTATGGGTTGAATAACAGGACAGACTGGTTTTATAGCCTTGGTTGGCAACCAGTGTACTGCAGAAAGAAATGACAACGTATTGCAGGGAAAAATCTTCTACCTAGTCAGTCATAAATCGAAAGAGACATGATCGTCCATGCGTGTAACTGACTGGGTGGACCCTTAATTCCAAGGAAGAAGTTAATATACAGGTGCCATCAGTAGACAGTTCATACTTCACCACTATACAGAAGTGATAGAAGGAAAACAGCGTTGTATACTATGAGCTTTTTCGTTGTTATTTACGTAGTCATCCTATGGTTTGACTTACTTTTTTAAGTCTTCGCGAGATCCCCTTTTCCAATCACTGGAGATAACACTTTCTGTTAGCAGTTTTCATCTGTGTGTCATCAATGGTGGTAAGTGAATACAGTGAGCTGCAGTTGACAGCAGCTTGCGTTAAAATTACTTACACGTTTCCTTTTCTTTTTCATACTTCAATATTGACATTTCGTTGGGACTTCGAAAATATACAAAAATAAATAAATGAAAACACATTTTAAAATTTCTTGATTACACATCGGTTCTTTTATAAATGCCCTTCGTTTTTAGTTTACACCCCCCCACACACACACACATTTTTTCCTCTTTCTCTCATCTTCTGGATTTTAAGTTTAGATCATATCGTTTTTTATTGTGCGTAGTGTCACCACAAATGTATACACACGTTTCTGGTGTCTTTTTTTTTTTTAATTTTAATTTAGGTCAACGAATTATGCATCGAAAAATAATTCATATTTATCTGTATCTCACTCATTTAAACCGTTACTTAACCCCTCTCTTTAAAACTTCACTCTGTTAAATTTTAATCCCCCACCTTCACTTTAAGCCTTCCTGTTCTTCTTTCTTCTGTTAACACCTCTCTCTAGAGCTTTCAGACATTTCCCTCTCAAACTTGTTTCCCACTCCCACACATACACTCTCACTAAAACTTAATTTTTTATACCCGGAGTTATATTTTCCGATTTCTTTTTGAATTTGTAGGTCTGATGAATTGGATCATGATTACGATTCCAATGTAATAAATTACAACCATGGAATATTAGTGTTTGAGTCTTTTTTATTATATTCTTACTCTGTCCTGGACATTGAGTTCTACTACCTGGATTCTATCCTCTTGGGAATTTATATATATATATATATATATATATATATATATATATTGGCCACTAATATTATCTATCTATCTATCTATCTATCTATCTATCTATCTATCTATCTATCTATATATCTGTCTCTCTCTCTCTCTCTATATATATATATATATAAATGGTAATCCGTATGGAGTTTCCAAAAGGATAAAGATCCAAGGAGAGCTCTATGTCAGAGACAGAGTAAAAGTATTAATTAATGAATATCAAACACTTAAAATATCATAGGTAATAACCTTTATTTCATGAACGCTATAAAAAATAGCCTTCAGTCTTTCAGACCTGCAAACCAAAGATTTTTATAGCTTTCATGAAATAAAGATTATTACCTATGATATTTTAAGTGCTTGAAATTCATTAATTAATATATATATATATATATATATCTTCGGTGAATCGAATCGAGTTCTCTCGGTCACTGTCTGTTTATCTAAAAATAAATACACCTTCATCCCTGCCGCCTTAGTGGTAGAATCTCTGACTGACGCCAATTCAGTCGGGTTTCGATCCTAGCTATATGTAACCGGACGTCTAGCCACACTGATGAGCTGTGATACAGCGAAACAGTCAGTCTGTGGATGACTATATATATATATATATATCAATTCACTCCAAGCAAGGTGATAACACCACTAAGACGCAAGGGGCTACTGGAAGTGAAAGAGAAGCAAAATACTTTAGAAAGAACCGAAAACCCAATCTTAAACAGGAAACAAGGGATAAACATCTACTCCTGTTCAAAAGGCTGCGGAGGTGTATGAATCAGACGATAGGTGAATTTCTGCAAGCTTTTAATTTGACAACATTTTTTGAAAACTTTCTTCTTTATCTGGGAAAAATAACGGAGTGGCTCTTCTTCACAGTCTTCAATTCAGAATAGTCCTTCTCCGAGACTGGTTACTACTGCCACATCCCTTTGAGAACATGAAACATCATAAAATAGAAAAAACACCTACTGAATTTTGGTATCCAGTGGTATTTTAAAATCACCATGGTCTATTTCATTTTTTAAAAAAATTCCTCCTACCACCTATATAAATAAAGCACATTATATGTGTGTCCAGTGTCGTC